TTCAAATCAATATGAATAAATCAGAGGGTTTTTTTTTAAACAGGGAAATCCTTTACTCAAAGGAAATTGTTTAAAATGTAGGCAAAGGAGATCTGAAGTAACTAGCTATTTTAAATGCTCACCCCTCCTAGCTGCACTTTACACATTGATTGATTGATTGATTGATTGATTGATTGATTGATTGATTTCCTGGCTAGAGAGCTTGAATGTAGATAGGAAAAGCAATGTTATTTCATCTAAATGACAGTCCTTGAAATGGGGGCGGAGGGTGTCCCAAGCTCAAGGCCTCTCTGCTGTCTTGTGCCAGCACTGGTACTTGTGCTAACAGCTTATTCCTCCAGCATTGGTACTTGAGTGAAGATGGAAGCTTCTTATCCAGGCTCTTGGATGTGTCTGGGAAAGACAGCAATGAGGATCCTGAGTGCAGGTGCTGGAGTGAACAGCAGGGGCAGCAGCATCCTTGGAGTGAGAAAGCCAGGTCACTAGGTACCATCCAAGGTGTGGATGACTTCTCCATTTCCTGGTGCTGTCCACCTCCTGTGGGGCTAAGTGGATGATGTGCCACCTAGTAAGGTATGTCCCTGAGGAGCAACTCGGTAAGAAGAATGGGAAAGCCTTTCAGAAGTCATGACCAGAGGCTCCCCATTCACACATTGACTCGGAAGTAGAGTCATGCGGCCTTGCAGTGCCCTCCAACAGCCTTGTCTGTCAAATGGGACTAGTAGCAGCCACCTGTCTCACAAAGGCATGAAGAGCTTTAAAGGAGTATGTGGTAGTAGAGCACATCAAAAGGTTTATAGAAACGTGGCATGAAATACACATTTTTTTTTTTTTAGTGGTGGAAGAGGTCTCTCTCTGCCTCCCTTTATTCAGCCATATATACCTTTTCCCCAAGCCTCTAGCAGAACAATTGGATGCTAATGAGTCTGATAGACAAGGTGCAACTAGCCTCCAAGCCCATTTCCTGCAGGAGCCAAGCTTAACAAATGCTAATCAACTCCTTAGCCCACAACAAATCCCCCTTTTTTGTTTTAAAGCAGATTTCTCTGCGCCTGTCTTAGGTTGTGGACTCTAGGTTACCAGCCTTACCCATCATTGGGAATCTCCGTAGCATGACGGAGCCCCTGTCTTAGGTTGGTCAGTGCCCGGTCCATCTTACCCGTCACTGGCTGCCATCCAACGCGTTGTCTGCTGCAGCTGCACAAACCATACTTGGGGAGGTTGGCTACCCTGTTCCATGGCTAGGAGAGATTTTACCTCGGTAGCAATGAGCAGGCAGCAATTCTCGGGCTTGAGAAAACATAGCACTACACAGGTGAAACATACATAGAGGTATAATGGGGGACAAGAGGCCCTGAGTATAGAAACATCTTAGTTCAGTAGCAATGCACAGACAGCAATTCCCGGGCCTGGAGAAACATTCTGCACTACAGGGGAGTTACACACAAAGAGGCATATGATGGAGTACAGGAGATCTAGACCAAAATCACAGCACATTTTTGTACAGAAGAATTTTGAATTTTTTTCCTTTGATTCTTTGAGGTTTTTTTTTTTTTTTTTTTTTGATTTGAAAGCCAGAACCTCCCACATGATCACAGGGAAGTAAATGCTTGAGCTACCTGCCAAGCTACCTTTCAATAGCTGAGTAGTATTCTGTAGAGCAGATGAACCAGAGTTTCCTTATCCAGTCTTCTGTTGGGCATTTCGGTTGCTCGCGTGGTTTTGTGATTATTGATTGTGCTGCTATGAACCTGCAGGTGCATGTTGCTTTCTTGTGTAACAGGCCTTGTGGCCATATTCCTAGACCTGCTATTGCTGGGTCATATGGAATGTAGAATTTCAGCTATCTGAGTATTCTCTATACTGATTTCCATAGAGGCTGCGCCAGCCTGCGCTCCCACCAACAGTTCTGACTGTGCTCACTGTGCTCACTGGCTCTGTATTTCAGGGAAAATATGCTGGGAGTGCAGCAGAGACTGATCTATTCAGATATGGAGGCAAAGTGCTGTTTGTCTCTGTGCATCCAAAGATGGAGTCCCAGTGCAAGACTTGAAAATATGCTGAGAGTAAGATGATGGCCCCTGACATTGTCCATGCCTGCATTGTGGGGAAACACATGGATCAGTGTGATGGACCTAAGTCTGCACTCTTCATGAAGGACACCCATTGTAAGACCAGAGGGGAAACCAGTGAGGAGGGAACTGGGGCAGGGGAGGGGTAATGCCAGAGCCTGTGGAACAGCATATAAAACAGAAATATAATAAAATGAAAGAAAGAATGTTCTCTGCTGTCAGGTTAAGTAGATTCTGTGACGTCTTCCCCCACATTGCTGCATCTGGTAGTCATTTTCATTGTATATTCTTCCACTGTATGAATAGCATACTTTTTTCAAAGATTTATTTTATTTGTATAGCAAAGTCAGATATACATACGGAGAGGATGAGAGACACAGAGGAAGATCGTCCACTCACTGAATCACTGCCCAAGTAGCCGCAGTGTCCAAAGCTGAGCTGATCTGAAGCCAGGAGCCTGGAGCCTCTTCCAGACCTCCCATGCTGCTGCAGGTGCAGAGTCCCTGGCTTTGGGCTGTACTCTACTGCTTTCCCAGGCCACAAACAGGGGGCAAGACAGGAAGTCGGACTGCCACGGTTAGAACGGGCATCCATATGGCATCACTGTGCATGCACGGCAGTGAGGACTTAGGCCACTAGGCTAAAGCATCCGGCCCTAACATACATTTTGTATGTCTGATTTTTCAACAACAATTACAATAAGAATTTCAGAAGTTTAAAAGATTTCTTTATTTATTTTGATTAGAAAGTTAGATCTTCAGAGAGGAGAAGAGATCGAGAGGAAGATGTTCCATCCAATGGTTCACTCCCAAGTGGCTCCACAGGCTGGAACGGAGCCAATCAGAAGCCAGGACCTTCTTCCGGGTATCACGTGTTGGTGCAGGGTACAAAGCCTTGGGCTGTCCTGGACTGCATTTCCAGGACACAAGCAGGGAGCCGGATTAGAACTGCTGCCCATATGGGATCCTGACACATTCAAGGCAAGGACTTTAACTGCTGTGCTATCGCACCGGGCCCAGTAACAATTTTTTTCTTTAAGAAAAGAAATTGACACATTCACAGGATCCCTCTGTACATACATTTTGTAGAGATTTATTGATCTTTACTAGAAGGACAGATCAGAGAGGAAGAGAGACAAAGAGAAAAATCCCCTGCCCTCCGGTGCACTTTCCAAATGGCCTCAATGGCCAGAGCTCAGCTGAGCCAAAGGTTAGAATCAAGCTCTGCTTCCGGGTCTCTCATGTGAGTGCAGGGTCCAAGGCTTTGGGCCGTCCTCTACTGTTTCCAAGGCCACGACAGGAAGCTGGATGGGAAGTGGAGCAGCAGGAACATGAACTAGCGCCCTTTGTGCATCCCAGAGCTTGCAAGGTGAGGATTTAGACACTGACCGGGCACATAATTTGCTTCTTTTCTTCACATTTTCATCAATGGCTTCCCCCTTTGGACCAATGCTATGAGCTTTCTTGTAGTGCCCTCAATGCCTGTTTCTACTGCCAGCCTGTAGGCTTTGTCCATGCTGTGTACTGAGAGACAGGCTGGGCTACTTTCACAATGCTTACCTGAATTTACATTCCTGTTACAAATTTAGACTTTCAAGCACGGTGTGGTAGCCTAGCAGCTAAAGTTTCAATTTGCATAGTCCAGGATCCCATATGGGCACTGCTTCCCATCCAGTCCATGCTTGTGCCCTAGGAAAGCAGTCGAGGACGGCCAAAGCCTTGTGAATCTGGACCTGCTTGGGAGACCCAGAAAAAACTCCTGGCTCCTGGCTCCTGGCTTCACATTGGCTCAGCTCCAGCTGTTGAAGCTGCATGGGGAGTGAATCATCAGACAGAAGATCTTCTTCTCTGTATATCTGATTTTTCAATAACAGTAAAAAAAAAAGTATTTAAGATTTATTTATTTGGTTGGAAAGGCAGATCTACAGAGAGGAGAAGAGACAGAGCAGAAGATGTTCCATGCGATGGTTCAATCCCAAGGTGCTCTGCAGGCTGGAACTGAGCCAATCTGAAGCCAGGAGCCTCTTGTGGGTATCGCATGTAGGTGCGGGTGCAAAGCTTTGGGCCATCCTCAACTGCTTTCCCAGGACACAAGCAGGGAGCTGGATTAGAACTGACACCCATATGGGATTCTGACACATTCAAGGACTTTAACTGTTATGCTATCGCACCAGTCCCAATAGGAATTTTGTTTAAGAAAAGAAGTTGACACATTCACACCATCCCTCCATCTTTTTTACTAAGATTGACAGTTCAAGGGCAGTGGTGGGTGCAGGACTATCCAGCAACAACTTTTGCAGGAATGCATGTGATTGGCTGCGCTGGGGACAGCTCAGAGTGGTGCTATTGAGGGGTGGGGATAAGGTGCTGGTTTCTGATTATACTGTAGAGGTTCCTTAGTGCGAATCTCCTGACAGGTTCCACAGCACAGAAAGAGCGACACTGCAGCGGGCGAGTGGGAACCGCCAGGCCTGGGACTCCACATGGCCCCTTCGGGTTTCCTCCCTAAGCGAGGAACCAGCTGGCGCTGCCCTGGCCCTTGGCGGGACTCGGGGTGCAAGGCGCGGGACACCCCAGGAAACAGTCCAAGAAAGACAGCACCTCCTCAGCCTCCCACGCCCACAGCGCCTGCGCGCGCGCTCAGCCCTTCACCAGCCCCGCTTCCGGCTTCCGCCTGCAATGCGTTCCTCCGCCGGCCCCTTTCTTGGGCTCCTTGTGTTGGCGCCAGCCGGCGCCTTGTTGTGTGGGACCGCCTTCCGCTTCCGGCGGCGTGTGAGCGGGCGTGAGCAGGAGCAGCAGTTGCGTGCGGGCCAGCGGCTGAGTGGCGCGGGCTGTGCGGGCGGGCGTGCGGGGAAGGCGCGTGTAGGCGCGGGGCGGCGGCGCGGGGAAGCCTCCCGCGGGGCGGCGGCGCGGGGAAGCCTCCCGCGGGCCTCGAGCGCGGTCCTTGCAGCAGGCGCCTCCCGAGTGGGAAGTGGAGACTGGGTACCTGCTGGAGAGGGGACTCCGGAGAGGTGAGTGAGCCCCGGCGGGACCAGCCGGGTGTGGGGTGCTGTGTGCGGACAGTGGGGTGTAGGGTGCTGGGGCAGGGGTACAGCGCGGCAGTGGGGTGTAGGGTGCTAGGCCAGGCAGGGCGGCCGTGGGGTGTAGGGTGCTGGGCCAGGCAGGGCGGCCGTGGGGTGTAGGGTGCTGATGGGTGGACAGCACAGCTGTGAGTTGTCGGGTGCTGAGGCGTGGACGGGCGCGTTCGTGGGGTGTAGGGTGTTGAAGTGGGTTCAGCGCGGCTGCTGTGCGTGGGGTTCTGGATGGGGACAGTGAGGTGCTGGGTGCTGGGTGGTGACAGCGCGGCCGTGTTTTGTGGGGTGCTGGGTTGTGGATGGCACACTCGTGGCGTGTGGGGTGTGAAGTGTGGACAGTGAGGTGTACGGTGATGGGGTTGGGACAGCACGGCCGTGGCTGCAGGGTGGGGACAGTGGGGTGCTGGGGGTGGGGAAAGCGAGAGCGTGGGGTTGGAGTGCTGAGGCGTGGACAAGGCAGCCTTGCAGTGCTGGTTGCTGGGCAGGGACAGCGAGGCTGTGCGGTGTGGGGTGCGGAGAGGATGCAGACACAGCTGTGGGATGGCGAGCTCATGGCAGAGATGCCCATTTGGGGGTCAATGAAATACGTGTTCACAGAGCTCGTTCCCCGCGGGGTGTGGCCGACCGTAAGGTGCTGTGTTCACTGCCGCTTCCAGGTCGTTTTGAGTGAGTTCCTTGTGCAGCCCTAAGCGCGCACCATGGAGGCCAAGGACCAGAAGAAGCACCGGAAGAAGCACAGTGGGCCCAAGGCCGAGAAGAAGAAGAAGCGACATCTGCAGGAGCTGCAGCTGGGAGACGAAGAGGATGCCCGCAGGAGGAACCCCAAGGCTTTTGCTGTGCAGTCGGCGGTGCGGATGGCACGCTCCTTCCACAGGTGCGTGGGAGCAGCGGGCTGGTGGTGCTGGCCCTCAGCATGAGGAGTTGGCTGTGGCTCTGAAGGAGCCGCGCATTCCGGCAGGTGGCTGTCTGAGATCCGGGTGGGCGACTGTTCCCATGGAAGCTTCCTGTGGTACAGGCCCTCTCTGCTGGTGTCTGGGCTCTGGCTGGTGGTTTTGCGTAAGAGAGAGATTGGTGCAATTTAATTGATGGAATGTTTCTCTAAAGTGTAAACGCCCTGTTTTAAGTTGCTTTCATGTCATTGTATGAAATGCTGAATTGGCAGTGTTGAATACTTGAATAGCCTTAGGGAGCAAGTCCTTGCTGTGTGTCCCACCACCACGGTCTAGTTCACACATTATGCATTAATGTGAGCTTAGGAATTATTCTTGTCTTCATTTTACAGGTGAGACAATGGAAGCCCAGCAAGCAAGTTACTCTAATTGTATACCCAGGAAAGGAGGAGAATTTAGCTCCCAAATAGCAATTCTTGTCCAGTAGTGATACTCGGCCTCGGTGTTTCTCTTTAACTAGATTGATGTGTCTGTAGTGCCCCACTCCCTGAGTCCTGTAGGCTTGTGTGTGTGTGTTGACTGCTGGGGCCAGAAATGATCCAAGTGAATTAGTTCCATCTGTCAGTTGTCTGCTCTGTCTGAGATCTGTGCTTGCAAGGTCCTTATCTTCTTTTGTGTTGTGCAAGTCCATGTACTTTTTTTTTTTGTTCTTTCTTTTTTGCAATGAATAGGACTCAGGATTTGAAGACAAAAAAGCATCACATTCCAGTGGTTGATCGAACTCCCCTGGAGCCCCCACCCATAGTAGTGGTGGTGATGGGGCCCCCGAAAGTTGGGAAGAGCACCTTGATCCAGTGCCTCATTCGGAACTTCACCAGGCAGAAGCTGACAGAGATCAGAGGCCCTGTGACCATCGTATCAGGTGAGGAGTGCTGCTGCTGCTGCTGCGGAGCCTCAAGCCTCAGGTCCCGTTCCCAGGGGTAATGATGGGCACGTGCTGGTGGTAGCCCAAGGGCTGCTTGATTTGGCCTTGGCAAATGAGCTGCTTGGGCAGGCTGTTGGGCCTGGACAGGCTGGCGTGTCATGGGGAGCGCGTTCCTGCAGCAGGCAGTGTGCACCTGCTGTGTGCTACGTGCCGCTTGCCCGCGTGAAACATGTTCTTGTGACAGTAAGAGGGGGATTTCTTTTTTTGCTGTAAGCACTCGTGGTTTTTGGGGAGAGGGGAGACAGTGAGTTTTGTACTTGAGTGTAGATGACAGAAATTCCCCAAATGGCAGAGGTAGAATTTGGAGTCTCGTGGGGCAGGGCTGATACAGATTGAGACTTTTCCTTCTCTTTGGGCATTCTTGGCCATCTCCTGTCTGCCTTGATGCAGGATGGTTGTTGGTCAGTGGACATGTAGTTGTGTTAGGTTTGTGGATGTTCTTAGCTGCAGTGAGAGCACAGGGACACTGGATGGGGATGCAGACCAGCGGGGCCATGGTCTTCCTGGAGCCCTTCCAGTCGCCGTCTTACCTGTTGGAGTGCTTTACTCACCTGGGTAGGCTGTTCGTATTGTTGTAAATAAAAAAACAGAAGAAGGAAACTAAGATGTGATTTGTTTCACACAATGTGTTTTTTTAAGAACAGATTTTTTTTGGCATGCGCATGTGGTGTTGGAGTTAATGGGTGTAAAGTCTTTTCCCTGGGGTTCCCAAATAGTAAAATGTACCCCTTTTCACTTACAGGTAAAAAGCGCAGACTCACCATCATCGAATGTGGGTGTGACATTAACATGATGATTGACCTGGCTAAAGTAGCAGATCTGGTAAGGCAGTGGATGCAGCCCGGGGTTTTTCTTCCTTTTTTTTTTTTTTTCATTTTTTTTAATCACATTTTTGATAATGTTTACATAGTTTAGTTGGGTAAAGGGTTCAAAGGTTACAGGAAAGTAGGTAAGACTATTATTTCCATATTGTTTCCTTCATGTGTCTGAGGTTCAGGGGGATATTGAGGGAAAAGCCCCACCCAGTCTTCCACCCATTCCAGGTCCTGCGTGTGGGGCATACTCCAAGATTCTTGCTCAAATGGTTTGATAGTTCACTAGTTATCAACCGCTGACGGTCTCTCCAGTCCAAGCACGATGAGTTCGTTGGAGAATCCACTGATTGAAATAGTCCGTCATAGAGTCTCTGTTCGCCCAGTTTTTCACTGCCAACTTATAGCTAAGGTGGTTGATTGACCTGTTCTGTCTTCCATCTTTTCATGGTTAGGGTTCTGAGTCTGGCAGTTTGATTGGGGAGATCCCCAAAGAAACTTTGTCTGAGGTGTTCCCAGACCAGATTCTTGTATGTACTAGCAAGTACAGGGCCTGGCACAGTCCATCGCCCTGATCAGCTGGTGGTTGCAATTGCTGGGTTGGTTCTGTTTCAGCCCTGACTTGCACTGGAACCAGTGGGTGTTGCAATCCAGCATGGTTCTGCCCAGCACATACTTGGCGCTCATAGAAACCAGTGGGAGCTGCAGCCTAGTTGGAGCGACCCACAATAACCCCCACCAGGCTCACCCCCTCCCCTGGTTTGCCAGTATGTGTAACAGACCTGTCCAGTTTGTTCCACATCGCATTCGGCTCTCGTACATGTCAAGGGGTATTATAGCTTAGTTGCATCTAACCAGCTCAACTATCCAGGCCTCACGGATGTTATTGGGTGCCTCTCTGTCTAGCCAAGCCAGCCCCTGTCCTAGTTTTTGTTGCCCTCCTGTGGGAGTGGTAACCCAAGAGGGAAGAGCCCACTATTTCCATGCTAGGCCCCTCCCATCCCCAGATTATGCACTTTCCAGGTGATTTTGTGGTTTTACTTGTCAGAATTAGCCCCCGGTGCCTGCTTCTGCCAGCTGATGCTGCAGCTAAGCCCAAACAACCCTCACCCACTCTAATTGTAGCTTGCACCAGTAGGAATAATCAGCCCAGCCTGGCTTTTCCCTGATCAAGGGAGATGAGGCCCACTTGTGTTGTAGCCCTGCTTAGTCTGGTCTGCCCCCATGCCAGTTCTCGCTCTCCAGTGGGAGTAGCTGTCCAACAAGGGAATACCCTCTTATTCCCCCTGCCGGTTCTGCCCCCTCCCTTCCTGGTTCTCACATGTGCTGGTTGGGCGCTGCGGTCACATCCGGTACAGACAACCTCTCCTTGGCATTCCCTATTGTGCACTGGTTTTTGTGGCGACCGAACCTGGCTCGACCCCCACTCTGTTCTGGTGCTCGGATTTGCCAGTGGATGACGTGAATTGATTCAGCCTGTTCTCCCCCCGACCCATGCCAAATGTATGCCAGTGGGAAACTTTCCATGGCCTGTTCTGGGCTGTTTCCTATCATGCTTCTTGCGCTTACCTGCAGGGCCTGTGTGCTGTCAGAGGAGTTGCCCAGGGTCCTCCATCAGAACCTCTCCCGATGCCAGATTTCACACTTCCCAGGGGGTCCATGAGCCAGCCCTACTCAGTTCACCTCCTGTCCTAGCAGGAACAGTGGTTTTTTTCTGACTGGTGGCCTGGGTTTCTGATGGAGACTTAGAGCAGTGTGTGACAGGCTGTTTAACTCTAACTCTCATGGAAGAGAAGAAAGTTTAGTGATTGGGAGAGGTTTAGTGGATGTAGAAGATGGGGTTGAGTTATTGTTCTTAGGCTAAACATGAATTGAGTAAAGGGAGAGCTATTTTAAAGCAAACCACAGGATGGAGAAAATCTTTCGTGAATGTTACTGATAAAAGCTCGTTAGTTTATAGACGCACATTCACACAGATGAAGCAGTAAGAAGTGTGCTGGGCACTGTTACAACAGCTTTCTGCAAGGTTAGTTTGCATAACCCGCAGTGCATCCTGGAAGTGACGAGCTGTGATCTTCTTATCACATAGACATTGCAGCTTCCAGCAGTTAGAAAACATGGGAGGATGAGAACCGTGCTGTCCAGCAAACATGAAATCATGCACCCACATGCCGAAATAAAACCATCCCGATCAGGAATTTGGGGGTGAGAGAGCCCTCCTTTTTGTTTTGTGTATTCAGCTTTTCTTGGGGAACTTTGGTTTAGGGAGCTATAAATTTCGCCTTTTGGTGGAAGACTCCTAAATTTTTTTTAAAAAAGTTAATATAGTGTTTTAAAAACTATAACATTGAATGTCAGAGTCCTAAGTTCCAGTCAAGGTTTGGACCTTTACTTACTTGCTGTGAGTGAAAATACTGTTTTAAAGATAGAGCAAACCAAACCTGTTTATGTAAATGATTGAAATAGTCAAGTACAAAAGTTATTAGTTTCTCTTTATGTAAAACATATCACATTCCATGTTTAAAAGCATGCATATGAAGAGAGATTGCCTTGTGTGTGTGTGCTTTAAGGCTTTCCAAAGGAACACGTGCATTTGGCACAATACTCAGACTGGCTCCAGTTTCCACAGACTGCATACACATTTTCTTTTTTTTTTTTTTAAGATTTATTTTTTTTTGTTATTTTTTCATTGGAAAGGCGGATATACAGAGAGGAGAGACAGAGAGGAAGATCTTCTGTCCGATGATTCACTCCCCAAGTGAGCGCAACGGTCGGTGCTATGCCAATCCGAAGCCAGGAGCCTCTTCAGGGTCTCCCACGCGGGTGCAGGGTCCCAAAGCTTTGGGCCATCCTCTACTGCTTTCCCAGGCCACAGGCAGGGAGCTGGAAGGGAAGCGGAGCTGCCGGGATTAGAACCGGCGCCCATATGGGATCCCGGGCGTGCAAGGCAAGGACCTTAACCACTGCGCCACCGCGCGGGGCCCTACATACACATTTTCTTTGACTTCTGGTCCCATTCAAAGCAGCATCCTTCCAGGTGCCTTTGAACTGGCCCCTCTGTCACATGGGTTCCAGTGTGTACATGCTCATGTGTGCACTGGAAGGTCATAAAGACAGTCAATGGAGGTTGGCAGCCAAGGGACTGCTTCCTATCTGTTCTTCCTGGTGTACTACCAGTGGGTTTGCCTGTTGGTATCTCATGGTGTGAGGCAGAGTGTCAGGGTATTCTGTGGCAAGTCCACTCACCTTCCGCTTGATCAGTGGTTGTGGAATTGTGCAGGCCTGGCCTATAGCCTGCAGTGGTTCGTGTGCCTTCTCACAGCTGCTAGCAGCCTACCTTCGTGTATATCACGGGTCGGCATTGGAGATGCTCCCTGGTTTACTCTAAGATGGATATTTCTGTCTTTGTCATCTTCATGGATATTTCTGTCTTTGTCAGTTAACAGTGTAAAGGTAAGAACAAAGATGTCTTTTCTAATGCTAGAATTCTGTAAGAATTGACTCTAATACTTTTGCATGTTTAAAGAGTCTGAAGATATTATTCATACAAGTTACCGATCATCATAACTTTACCATCAGTTTAGAATTCTAAACTGCTAGTTTAATTAAAAAAAAAATTTTCTGAGGAGTTACATAATACGCATGAACGCGTAAGTTAACATCTTTTTTATCACAGATTTCCTAACCAAAGAAAAAGAGAACAGATTGATTTTCCTATGAGAAGACTGAAACAAACAGTTGGTTTTCTGTATACTTTAATTTTAAAGATTTGTCACTTTTCTACTTTTCAGATGCTAGAGACCTGTTTGGGTTAAGAAAAATACCTTCTTAGAAACATAATCAGTATTGCTCCAAAAACGGCTAACATAGCCGTAGCTCTCTGACTTGTTTCTCATATACCTCAATCCTTGAAGTCAAAGTTTCTGTCCTGGGCATCATTTTATAGTGGCCTTTTAACACAGGTCATAGGGTAGAAGCCCCTAGCAGATAGGTCCCTGAATCACTTGGTTGGGGCTGGAGCAGGAGATAGCCGTCTGTCTCTGCAAAGGGCCTGAGAGAGAGCCAACGTTTGAGGTTCTGTGGGTCGCGTAGTCTCCCACTACTAAGTGCCGCCATTGTAGCAGACGAGCAGCCATAGACAGTATGTAAATGAATTCATACTTCTGTGTCCTGCTGATGTTCCTGCCGATGGCCGTGCCTTTCTCTGCGTGCCCGGTCTGTAGGGTCTGTTTCTGAGGTTTTCATGAGAAAGTGCTTTGTTTTCAGGTGCTGATGCTTATAGATGCCAGCTTTGGATTTGAAATGGAGACATTTGAGTTTCTCAACATCTGTCAAGTTCATGGATTTCCCAAAATTATGGGAGTTCTCACCCACCTAGACTCCTTCAAGCACAACAAGCAGCTGAAGAAGACAAAGAAGCGGTTAAAACACAGGTTCTGGACAGAGGTCTACCCGGTAGGAAGAGAAATCATTGTTGGATGTTGTTATGGTTTTTCTTTGTTTAAGGCAGAGAGGTAGAGCTTCCATCTGTTGGTTTATTTCGCAAACGTGCCAACAGTCTAGGCTGCAGCAGGTCCAAGTTGGAAGCCCAGAATTCATTGTTGCTCTTCCACCTGGGTCACTTCAAGTACTTGATCTGTCACCTGCTTCCTGCCTGGGTATGCATTAGCAGGAAGGTGGAACTGAGAGCAGGGCCAGAACTGGAAACGCATGCACTCCAGTGTGGGAAGTCTTAACTGCTTCATCAGGCACCTGCTCCTGTCCTTTTCAGATAGCCAGGTTAAACATCCCCATATCATTCGCCTCCCGAGTTTTCTTTATGTTTCTGTTCACAGTCTCTGCATGATTTCTTTGAAGATGGTCTTTGTTCTACACCTCTTCTGTAACCCACTGATCCCTGTACTGCCCACACCAGACATCTTGTAGCTTGGTTTTGAACTTGTAACTTACTGTAGTTAGAAATCTCTCCTAGTTATCTGGCCAAGAATTGCCGCTCTCCCTCTGTCCCTCCCTGATGCTGTGACCTGTTCATCACAGTATCCCTTGTAGGTTCAGGACCCTCACTACCCTCTGTGTGTCTGACCTGCCGCCACTTCCCTGGGGAGCAGTGTACGCCTGTAGGCTCCCCACGCATGAAGTCTGCACGAAGCTTGGGGACAGTGGCATAACTGGACTCTCCCAGTTTTGGCTTACTTATTTGGGAATTTTCTCTTAGTGCATATCTGGAAGAATTTAATTTTTATTATTATTATTTTTTTAAACATTTAGGGTGCAAAGCTATTCTACCTTTCTGGAATGGTACATGGAGAATATCAGAACCAAGAAATTCACAATCTGGGCCGTTTTATTACAGTGATGAAGTTCAGGCCTCTCACGTGGCAAACCTCCCACCCTTACATCCTGGCAGACAGGTAAATGAATGTATACTTCAAAGCTGAAAAGCTGGGATACTGGCACTGCTGGAGCTTACTCTGTGCTGTACCTGAGAGAGGCGGACCACGCAAGGTTGAGAAGAATGGGAGGATTTGGGGGTATTTGGCGCCAAGGGTGTGGCCCCACACTCCTTGCTGGTGCTGCTGTTTATGCTTGTGTGCCCAGTTACCCAGTGTACCTTCACATTGCTTCCTCTGTACTTTTCCTGTTTTCTTAGCTCAGAAGACCCTTTCCCTCCCCCCCCCCCCCCCCCCCCCCCCCCCGCCCATCTTCCAGCATCCATTGCTGCAGTAAAACCTAGAGCCCAGGTCCGTTCTTTTAAACCTGGAGAATGTAGTTTTCCGGTGTCTGGGGGAGTGTGTGTCACATGGAACCGGTGAGACATGTGTTCTAGGGCTTGCTCTGCTCCTTTTCCCCTGATGCGGATGGGAACTGTCTTCCCCATTTCTGTCCTTTCCAGTTTGATAAATTAGAGCAAGAATTATCAGCATGTAAGGGGAGGTACAAGGACTCTGACAGACTTCTGCCCCATGATGGACTTTTCTTGTTCTAGGATGGAAGATTTGACAAACCCCGAGGATATACGAACAAACGTCAAGTGTGACCGCAAGGTGTCTCTTTATGGTTACTTGAGAGGAGCACATTTGAAAAATAAAAGCCAAGTCCACATACCAGGTACCTCCCATTGTCGAGCCTGCCATGCTTGAAGAACACTTGGGAGGAACTGAGAAACGGCCTAACGGGGGAGCCCACCTCGCTGGAGGCATTTCAAGTAGACCAGCTGTGCATAGGTGTGGCGCAGACACTAATGCGGTCTAGCGAAAGGCACAGTCCGTATTTGAACGACGCGCCTATTTCTCCCTGTGCGTGGATTTAAGGTAGCTGACCCATGTGGGCCCCGTGGCCAGCTGGCATCTCCTCTCGGCTTCTGTCTTGCCAGGTGTAGGAGATTTTGCTGTGAGCGATGTCAGCTTCCTCCCAGACCCCTGTGCTCTTCCTGAACAGCAGAAGAAGCGCTGTTTAAACGAGAAGGAGAAGCTGGTGTACGCCCCTCTCTCGGGAGTCGGCGGGGTGCTGTACGACAAGGATGCCGTGTATGTTGACCTGGGCGGCAGCCACGGTTTCCAGGCACCGGTGAGAACGCCAGCTTAGCTCTAGCCCGCATCATTCCCTCTGTGCCTGTCATTCTATCACAGGCAGGGATGCACTCTGCTTTTACTTACTTTGTGTTCACATTTATGAGGAAGGCTTCTGTGCGTGTTGTAAATTCACAAATAGAAAGGATGGTACATCTTCCCAAGGAGGAAGGATGAGCCCTGCCCTCCACGCTCCCCTCATCCACACCTCGGTGTGGGCACCTCTGCACCTAGGCCTCTTTGTGCAATACGGCATTTTAGCTTCAACTTTGTAATTTAATTTAATTTAATTTAATTTAATTTTTTTTGTCGTTTTGTTTCTCACGTTCCAAATGGCTTCATTCTGTTTATTATTAAACGGACTCTATATTTTTTATTTCTTAGTTGTATCATGGACATTTAACTATGTAGCTTTAGGACCTAAAGGTTTTTCCAGCCAAGTGTTTGAGTGATTTTTGGGCTTTCTCTTTCAAGTAGTAAGAAGTTCTTGGGGGCCGTGTTTGGATAAAATCTCCTTGGAGTGCCCGTGCTGCCCTCTCCCCGTGGCCTTGGCAGGAGGAGGCATGGAGCGCCCGTGCTGCCCTCTCCCCGTGGCCTTGGCAGGAGGAGGCATGGAGCGCCCGTGCCTCCCTCACTTGTCCTCTTCCCATGGTCTTGGCAGGAGGAGGCAGGACCCACCCAGGAACTTGTCCAGAGTCTCATCTCTACCCACTCCACTATTGATGCCAAGATGGCTTCAAGCAGAGTGACTCTGTTTTCTGATTCCAAACCTCTGGGGTCAGAGGACATAGACAACCAAGGGTAAGTCTGCCTTTTCTCTGTTTTTAGTTTTTTAAAAAAGTATGCGTAGGAGATGATATTGACGGATCTGTAATCCTAGCATGTCTTGGTGGGATTTTTTCATTCGAGGTTGTTTTGCTTTCACTTTGCTTTGCGTATGCCTGTGTTTTAGAACTCTTTCTTTACTTAGCATTATGCGGAAATCTTTTTTTCAAAATATAATACAAAATTGGTTCTTTTGACAAATCCATAGTATTACTCAAATACTACCAAGTCCTTTGCATGGTTTGCTTTTAGTTTGTCAGGACACCTGAGGCCGCTTGGCTTGGTTTGTTGGCCCTGTACTGCAGCGGAGTCAGGGAGTCTACCCAGAGGCTCCGGGAGTGTGTGTCTCATGTCTGCAAGTGTGGGTAGATTTCTGCTCGTCTATGGTTCATGGGAATTATGTTTTGGTCTGGGTTGAGAATTTATGTTCCTTTTTATGCAGTGGGTGACAAACATGGGTTTCATTGTTATTGATTTATGAGTCTCAGTAAAAGTTTATCTGAAAGTGACTTTTCAGATCTTTTAAAAATTATTTTGACAATCTTTACATAGTTGATTAGGGCACAGAGGGTCAAGGGCTACAGGAAAGTGGGTAAGACCATTGTTTCCACGTTCTCTTTTTTTCCCTGTATCTGAGGTAAGGGGGTAGATAAAGGAAAAAGCCACACCCAGCCTCCCACCCATCCCAGGGTCCCCAACATGAGGCATGCTCCGAGGGCACTATTCAAGTGGTTTTGATAGTTCAACAGTTCTGAATTGCTGCCAATCTTGAAAGTGACTTTTAAAAAAATACTAATTTGAGAATCAGAGTTAAGAGAGAGAGAGAAGAGACAGATTTTCCTTCCTCTAGTTCACTCTCCAAATGGCTGCAATGGTTGGAGTTGGGCTGGTCTGAAGGCAGAAACATGGAGCTTATTCTAGGGCTGCAATGTGGATGAAGGGGCCTGAAGGCTTGGGGAATCTTCTGTTGCTTTTCCTGGACACATTGAGTAGGGAGCTGGATCTAGAAGTGGAGCAACCAGGATTAGAACCAGTGTTCATATGTGATGCTGGCTCCAGAAGCAGAGGCTTAACCTTCCACAGCTTGACTCTGGTCCCTATCTCTTTAAAAATTGGTTCCAACATACATAATCTTAAGATTTATTTTATTTATTTGAAGGACAGACTTTGCAAGGGTATGGGGAGAAACAGAGATGTTTTATATGCTGGTTCGCCTCCCCAAATGGCTGAAACCCCATGAGCTGGTCCAGGCTGAAGTAAGGAACCTGGACCACCATGTCTCCAGCGTGGGCGGTAGGGCCCTAAGTCCTTGGGCCATCTGCTGCTTCCCAAGCACATTAGCAGGGAGTTAGGCTGGAATTGGAGCAACTGGGATTTAGTTAGTGTTCCGGTATGGGATGCCTGTGTCGCAGGAAATGATTTACCCTGATGCGCCACAGCACTAGCCTCCCAAAGTAGCTGTTGTTAGAATCCGTGTGGTTGTTAACTACCATCTCATCTCTCTGGGCTCTTCTGGTAATCCTGTGTAGAGATTCTTTCTGACTTCATTATTTGTAATAATTCTACACAAAATTGACTTTTTCTGTGCAAGCAGTCATTTTGCAATGGCTGTTTTCTAACTTGCTCCTTCTCTTAGGGCACAGTTTTTGGTTTCTCTAATTGATGTTTTAGTTACTTTATATGTAAGACTTGTTTAAGTAGCTCCATGTAGTTATTTCATCATGTGGTTTAGCATCCTAATTTTTTTTAAACATTTATTTGAAAGGTCAGAGTTACAGGGAAAGGGAGGAAAAAATTTTTTTTTTCTCAATTTTGATAATCTTTACATAGTTGATTAGTACGCAAAGGGTCAAGGGCTAGAGGAAAGTCATTTAGACTGTTGCTTCCACATTCTCTGTGAAAGAGATTTTTTTTTTTTTTTTTTTTTTGTCTGCTGGTTCATTCCTCAAATGACTGCAACAACCAGAGTTGAGTCAGGCCACTACTGGGATCTGGGAGCCTCCTCTAGGTCTCTCACATGGGTGGCAGGGGCCCTGGGACTTGAGTACTTGAGCCACGTTCTCCTGATGTCCCAGACCATAAGCAGGGAACTGGGTTGGAACTGGTACAGCCAGGAATCAACATGTCGGTTCCATCAGCGATGACCTTGAAATGGTGGATTTCTTAATATGTGTTTATATGTTCCTTCTACATCAGAGAGCTGACATTGTTGAACACAGATACTTCCTCCTTTAATCCAGTATCTTTGTTAAATAATGGCCTTTAGTCCACGTGTTATTTATTTATTTATTTTTCCATTACTGTCATTCTTTCTGCTGCCTGCCTTGTCCCGGATTTGGCTTTGGGAGTCCTCTGGCTACTGTGTGCTTTTAGTAATTTCTCTCAGTCTTAGAGTGCTTCCTTGTATTTTCTCTCTCTTTTTAATTTAATTTTATTTTTAAGCGGAAAGAGACTCTTCCATCAGCTAGCTCACTCCCCAGACAAGAACGGACTAGATCCAAGCTGGGAGCCTGTAACCTAAAGTGGGTGTCCCACTTGGCTGTCCATGCTCCGGGTGTCATCTACTGCCTCCCAGGGTGTGTTAGCGTGAGGCTGAACCTGGAAGTCATGCAGGACGCGACCCAGATACTGCAGATGGGGGAGGCGTCCTGACTGCCAACAGGGCAGGGTGACTCGGGTTCACTTTGTCTGCCTCAGGCCTTGGCCTTAGCTTGTGCTCAAAGGTTGGAGTAGCGCAAGCCTTGAAACTAATCAGTCTTCACAAAGGTCTACTGTATGTTAACTTTTCTTTGGTCTTATTTTGTTTTAAGATTTAGTTATTTTTTGTAGGAAAGTCAGATAGAGAGGAGAAGAGACAGAGAGGAAGATCTTCCTTCTGCAGATTCACTATGCAGGTGGCCACAGCTCAGCTGGAGCTGAGCTGATCTAAAGCCAGGAGCCAGGAGCTACCTCCGGGTCTGCCACGTTGGTGCAGGGTCCCAGGGCCTTGGTGCGTCCTTGACTGCTTTCCCAGGGCACAAGCAGGGAGCTGGATGGGAAGCTGGGCCACCGGGATACGAACCGGCGTCCCATTTGGGATCCCGGCGAGTTTTAGACAAGGACTTTAGCTGTTAGGCTGCCACGCCAGGCCCATACTACTTTTTGAGCTGATTTTTAAGAATTGAAATTTTTTGAAGATAGTCTATTTTTAAATTATTACTATTCTCTAAATAAAGACCATGCCTCAGTTTGCTCATTTGGGGTTTTTCAGATCTGTTTTTCCCTGTGCTAGGTCATATTGAAGCATTCCTTGGACTGTTCTATTTCTTTGATTGCTGCTTTTTGATTAGCTAATTATTACACAAATGGAATTATTCTGCATTACTTGTTGCTATAGACTCTGGATGCCCAAAGAGGAAAAGCAAATGGATTTGAAAACTGGCCGAGTGCGCCGGAGGGCGATATTTGAAGATGAAGAAGATGAATCTGGAGATAGTGACGATGAAGACGATGATGAAATCTCTGAAGACAACGGGTTGGGAAATGGCTCGAGTGATGAGGAAATGGAAGAGGAGGGAGATGCCGACATGACCGAGGAGTATGTGAGTGTCAGGGGTGTCAAACGGCAGAAGCTGGCGCTGGAAGCAGACAGCGAGGAGGAAGATTTGCCAGCTTTCGCCGATAGCGACGATGACCTGGAGAGGAGCTCCGGGGACGAAGGAGAAGCCGAGGAAGCCGATGAAAGCAGCGCTGAAGAGGACCCCACGGCAGAGGGAAAGCGGTCCACTCAAGGGCTGAAGGCCGTCGGAGAACGCCAGGTAGGACAGGCTGCGGCTCATCAGAGCAGCGACCGTTCGAACCTGAAGGCTTGGCCAGTGAGGAAGGCAGCGCTCGCCTCTGACTCAGGTCACTGCACAGCTGAGGAGGCGTGTGGATCTGAAGATGAATCTGAGCAAGGCTCCTCACTCAGTTCGGAGGAAGGTGACTCAGAAAGTGAGGAGGGCCTTAGGGAGAAACTTGCAGAACCTTCTCAAGCAGGCCGGGGTCAGAAACCAGCCCCAGAGACCTTCACTGAAGAGACCAGCGACATAGAGGACTTACTAAAGGAGGAGGAAGATTACGTAGAAGAAAGCAACTATTCCACAGAAACTTCAGGTATGCTTGAGTGTAATTCAGTGCCGTGAACTTGGCACTGAAGATACGCAGCATTCACATTTGCAGATTTTGTTAGTTGTTGAAAACGTTGCATCCTGAATGAATTTAGGGCGCCTGACTAGTGAGCTCGAAGCGGGCAGGCCAAGAAAGCAGACGTCATTGTGTGTTGTTTTCTTTCAGGAGCCCTCAAGTGGAAGGAAGACCTTTCCAGAAAGGCAGCGGAGGCCTTCTTGAGGCAGCAACAAACAGCCCCAAACCTTCGGAAGCTTATTTATGGGACAGGTAAGGAGGTGTGGGTCAGAGCTGGAATGCTTTCAGTCGCACATTCGTTTGTGAGGTAGAAGTGAGGGAATGACTTGGAGCATGCGGGGTGGTACTTGTAACCACCCTACTTCCTGTTGTATTTGACATTTGGCTGATGATTTTAGGCATTGGCCTCTAAGGACTACAGATTGTTCATGTGAAGTAGTTACAGTTTTACAATGAAACTTCTGGTAAGCATCCTATTCATTATGTCACGTCATACCTCCTGTTTCATATTCTTGACAAGTTTTGTTTTATGAAATTTTATACCAGAAAACGAATTCTCCTTGTAAGGATGTTTTTGCTTTTTGAGAATGAGAACCATGTGTATCCATCCTGTTCTCCCTTTTTGTCCTTGTCCTCTAATTTTATATTTTTTAACAACTGTTTATGTGTTGTTGTCTTTGGAAGCAATAATAGCAATAATGAAGAGAAGCTGCCCAGTTTGATGCTTAGACCAAGGCCACTCGAGTAGATGTTTGTTCACTTAAAGGTTCCACGTGACCTGATTCTCATTCAGGTTTTGTTGAAGCCCCCTTTGCGACTGGAGACTCAATAGCTCTTGTGCAACAATTTAAAGTTCTGCCCTAAGTTGTCCCTTCTTGCTCCTGTATCCTTGCTCCTCAGTGAACTCTCTGCCGTGGCCTTGCAGGAGGGCAGGAGTCCTGTGTATGGAGCAGTAGGTTCCTTTTCTTTGTGACTCGTCTGCTCTCTCGGGGACTTAACCCCTTCAGGGCCACCACCATCCTGCCACACGGAGCAGCCACGGTTCCCTGAGTTGTAAGACGCGTGGCCTAACCCGCTGTGAAGTCAGTGGATCCTGCGTGATTGTAGTTTTTTGTTCTGACCTTTCCGTCACGGTGGTCTCTTCAGTGACAGAGGACAATGAAGAGGAAGATGCTGATACCCGAGAAGAGCTTGGTGGGTTGTTCCGTGTCAGCCAGCCTGACAGAGGGTGTAAGCACAAGGCTGATTCTTTGGACTGCTCCCGATTTCCCGTGGAGGCACCCCATGATTGGGATTTAGAAGAGGTAAGGCTGTGTGGTGTGTTGGATTCATAAGACAATTAGGGAGTTGTTTGAGAAGTTTACATGACTTCAGTACTGTTTACTTGTTGTTGGTTTTTTTAAATTCTTGTGAAGGGTCGTTTTTCAGATGTTGGGGTAGGTATTTTGTATCTCAGCAATAACATGTTCAGAGTTTGTTTGGGCCAAGCTCCTGTGCTATGGAGGAGAGAAACATGTGCAGCTTCTGGTGTGGATTTTTAGTAGTACTCTTGATTCTGAGGCTGTTACATCTTTGAAATCTTGTGTTTTTAGCTAGGATACACTTCGTGTCCTGAATTAGCATTTTTAGTTTCTGCCATTTGTAAGCAGAAGTCCTTGACACTTGTGAATAATATTCTCCTAGCTCACACACTCCCATGATGCAGTGCTCTAGCTTGCCACGGCAGGAGTCTTAGACGCTTGTGCCTCTGTTTTCTGGAGTGTTCTGGTCTGCTCGGGGCTGACCGGCTCTTGGTCCTTCTGGTTAGGTTAACTGCAGTAATTGCTCAGGGGACCCTCTCACCTTCACATGACTTGTTGTAATGGACTGCATGGCACTTATGTGAGATATAACCTAACTGTTTTTACGGTAAATTTTAAGACGTAAAATCCTCATGCAACTTAACGAACCAACTGCTGGGAGGTCAACGAGTGCCGCTATAACCACCACTCATCCACCAAGAGCACAAGCTTGGTGTCCCCTAGCCATGCTGCGTGAAGTCATCCCATGAGGATCCCTTCCTCCTGTGGAGGGAACCTGTGCAGACCCTGGGCAGTCCTTTCCTGTCTTCCTGATTGCATCCTCACAGGTGGCATCACCAATGGCATACTTTAGTTTTACCTGTGTTTTATTCATGGATTTTGCTCTGCCTTTTCAGTCTCTTAATCCGTATCTTCTCCTTCCCTTCCTCTTTATTCTCCCTTGGGTTTTATTTTAGTTTGTGATTTCTTCTTTCTGGCTCTCGTTGTTACCTCACCTGCCAGGTGCTGCTGGCCAGGCTCTCTGTTTCGCTAGCTGAGCCCTGGTGATGGCCGTCTCCCAAGTGCCAGCTGTCCAGTGGGCTCTTGAGCACTTTTGTGGCTAGTAAGACCAGAGAACCGTGTCTCATTTCAGTTATATTTTATTTACTCGTAAAATAGCTTACGTGTCCACATGGTTGCAGCTACTACGGATGAGACATTTAGAAGTTTGATAGAATGTGGGTTGGTTTGTTTAGGCACGTAAAGTCTAGTTGTCTCTTCGTGGTGTTAGCAGTTGCTGACACTCAGTGCCAAGAACCACTCATTTTTAAGGAGGTAAAGCTGGTGCTGTTCTGCTCAGTGATTTCTCTTCATTAGGCCACTGAGTACTCCGACACAGACGCTTGCCCTCATCTGCCATTCAGTTATGTAGACCCGTGTAGGCAGGATGACTGCTTGAATCTTTGAACTTTAGGAAGGACACTCCAAAAGTGGCTTCTTTTAACTGTCAGTATGAACTTACAAGTTTAGATGTAGTTGATATGCTTCCTTCTGCTGTGCCTGTTGTTCTCACGTTCCTCTTATCTAACCTGTGGGGATCTTCCCACGGGCATCTGTGGCCCCTGTGACACATTCTTCCTTAGCCAGCACCGTCATTTCTGACACCAGACTGACGGTCAGCCCTACGGAGACCTGGTTTCCTTTAGTAGAAAATGGCGACTCAGCATCTCAGCCGGTGTGAGAGCACCTGTGCTGTGGGTCAGCTGATGGTTCTTCCTAGGCCTTCTCGGTAACCAGAGCGAGGGAAATACACACTTCCAGTGCATGCTCGGGGCTAAACGCTACATCTGTTTTTCCACTGGAGAATTATTTCCTGATGAGTCTGAAGATGATGAAATTGGAACATCCTATAATTGCTCATTTTAAAATCTGATCATATTACAGAAGCCTGACAGGATAGCACTATGTGCTGCTGTTAATATGATTACTGGAAATGTTCTTTCCCATTTACTCTATTTCTCTTTCCCGAAGTGATTGTAGCATTTTGCTCTTCCAGCAGCCGTGGATGTGGGCTCCAGTTCACGTCTTCCTCACCGCTCACCATTCAGTGTTCTGATTAAGCCGTCCGTGGAGGTGTGCAGTGGTGTCTCCCTGAGTTACTGATTTATATCTCCCTGATGGCTAATTCCCTGAGCCATCTTGTCATGTGCTTATTAGCCATGTGTGTTATGTGTTTTTGAAGAAATGGACTTTCAAATATTAATTTCCCATTTTTTTAATATATATTTTATGTTTAGTGCTTACATTTGGGCCACCGGTTAGGGTAGGGAGGGTTGAGGTATGGAGGAGGTGCGTGGGGCAAATGTTTAGTTTTCCTTCTTTTTCCTCTGGTATCTGTAGAAGGAGGGGTAGGGGGTGGCACTCCTTGCTGCCAAGCTACATCCACATCCTAGGGTGACGGGGCAGTCATTTGATGTCATTTTAGAGAGCCCGATGGATGTGCGGAAAAGTGTTCAAGGGAGTTAGTTGGGTGGTTTTAATAGTTCTGAGACATTGTTGGTTTTCTTGCTCTAAAGTTGAGAAACTCTTTCCAAGGTCTAGTTGAAAAAAGTCACACACACCTAGATATTTGCTGCAGAGCTTGGCTAGGAGAGTGGTCCAACCTATGCTGCTTTCCATCCTCTGTCAGCCTAGACGAACTGGCCGTCATGTCCTCTGTGAGTCTGGGCATGCTTCATTGCACAGGCATCAGTAGCTGAAGAGGCCAAGACCTGATGTGTGCACTCCAAAGTTGGACCACATGTATTTTGATTTTTCCCGTGGTCAGGGCCTGAGTCCAGTGGTCTGTTTGGGAAGTCCGTCAAGAAGTCTCCTGAGCTGACTCTGGTGTGGCTCAGCTAGTACAGGGTCTGGTTCAGTCTATCACCCACATCAGCCTATGCACATAACGTAGCAGTGAGTGCAGTTGCATGCAGTTGCTAGTTCATATCCATCCCCAACCCTATCTCCACACAAGTGAGCTGCAGTCTAGAGCAACCCAGCCCGTCACAAACCCAGAAACTGCAGCCTAGTCAGAGCAACTCCCAGTTATCCCCACCAGGCCCACCCCCAGCCTCTGTTCACCTGCAAATACCGTGGCCTGATCTATGGAAAATCCTAGTGGTCATTCCACACCCGTAAAGTACTCTTACACCTCCCCAAACTCCCTTCCCTGGGTAACCCTTACAAGCCCCGGGGTTGTCTTCTGGAAGACTCCCTGGCCACCCCCCCACCCCCCATATCTTTTAAAAGAGAGAGAGAGAGAGAGAGAGAGAGAGAGAGAGAAAGAATATTTAACTGCTGGCATTGTGGTGTCATTAAAAAGTTTGGCATTAACCAGGCCCAGAATGCCCACCAGCTATAGGCTGCTTTTCCCTCAGTAGTGCAACGTTTGTCTATGTACAAGGCAACCCAGGCAGTTGCGTACAACTGAGGCAACTTCTCGTATTAAAAACTAGATTATTATTAGGTCTACGAATTGTTTATATATTCTACATACAAGTTCTTGCCAGATACAGTATTTATAAAATCTTCTCTCCCAATGTGGAGTTTGAATTTTCAAACCGATATATTGTTTAGACTAACAAAAAACAGGACCGCTGTCTCAGAAACGCTAATAACTTTAAAAATTAGTTATGTTAGAAATGTCCTGTGTATTTGTACGATCACTGGGCTGCGGTACTCGCCCTGTCTGCTGCTCAGTGTTGTGGCCTTTATGCTTTCTTTCTGTGGTTAAGCTGTCTGCCACAAAGGCAGAGATGTCTGTTGGCCTGCGTGCAATGAAAATAGCCACGAGAGTTTCTCCAAGTACTTAAAGACAAACTTTGCCTACTGCCATTTCCATTTTTTAAAAAACGTTTTACTGATTTTCAGTTGAGACAGAATCAGAGGAACACCCATCTCCATGGGTTCACTCCTCGGATGTCTCTCCAACAGCTAGAACCAGGCCAGAGCTGGGCCAGCAACTCGATCCAGGTTTCCTGCAGAGGTGACAGGAACCCAGTGAGCTGAGCCATCACTGCAGTCCTTCAGGGTCTGCATTGGCAGGAAGCTGCAGTTAGAGGATCAAGACAAGTATCAAACCCCGCACTCTAGGTTATCCCAGTGTCATTTCTTAGAGAGCAGTTGTTTTGTTGAATAATTGGAGCGTATCAGTCAAGTGCTGACTTTTCTGTTTAAGGTTATGAACAGTATCAGAGATTGCTTTGTGACTGGCAAGTGGGAGGAGGACAAAGACGCAGCCAAGCTATTGGCAGAAGATGGTGAGTAAATAGCAGTGGTCTTCACAGACGACTGGCTTCTCTGTACTTTCTTTCTTATCTTAAATAATGACCAAGATGAAAAGAATAGTCTTGAGTGCAAAATTATGGGACTTTTTTTCTTTAAAAGATTTATGTTACACACTTGGAAAGCAGATTTACACAGACAGAAAGAAAGAGAGACCGCTTGTGGCCTGGGAAAGCAGTGGAGGAAGGCCCAAAGCCTGGGAGACCCAGATGAAGCTCCTGGCTCCTGGTTTCGGATCGGCTCAGCCCAGCTGTTGAGGCCGTTTGACAAGTTAAGCTTGAATGAAGATCTTTCTCTCTGTCTTTCCAATAAAAATAAGTAAATCTTAAAAAAAAAAAAAATCTGAAGTACAGAACCTAGATCAAGGGATAATTGCATGTTTAGTTTTAGAAACTTGAAACATTTTATGGCTCTGCAGGCATTTGAGTGAACCGTTTTGTTTGCATCTTTGCCAACATTTGGTCTTTCACTGCTTTATTGTAGCCATTCTGATTGATATGTAATGACTTTTGTTTCTGATGACTAAGCATATTGAGTATTATTAGCTCATTTGCCATCTTTCTACAGATTTCTGCTTGGATTATTTCTAATACTGTTGAATCTCAGATGCATTTGCAGAGAGAAAGATCCTTGATCCTCTGGTTCTCTCCCCAAACAGCTGTAAGAGCTGGAGCTGAGCCAATCCAAAGCCAGGAGCCAAGAGCTTCTTCCAGGTCTCCCACATGGGTGCAGGTCCCAAGGCTTTGGAACCATCTTGTGCTGCTTTCCCAGGCCACAGGAAGGAGCTGGATGGGAAGTAGAAGTGCCGGGATATTAACCAGTGCCCATATGGGATTCTGGTGCTTGAAGGTGGAGAATTAGCCAGTTGGGCCCTAGAGCCGGCCCTAATATTGTTTCTTATGTCCCTTTGGTAGCATCCTTAATCTTTTTTTATCATTTTATTTTATTTTATTTTATTTTTTTAAAGATTTATTTTTATTATTTTTTTATTGGAAAGGCAGATATACAGAGAGGAGAGACAGAGAGGAAAATCTTCCATCTGATGATTCACTCCCTAAGTGAGCACAACGGCCGATGCTATGCCGATCCGAAGCCAGGAGCTTGTTCTGGGTCTCCCACGCGGGTGCAGGGTCCCAAAGCCTTGGGCCGTCCTCGACTGCTCTCCCGGACCACAGGCAGGGAGCTGGATGGGAAGCGGGGCTGCCAGGATAGAACCAGCGCCCATATGGGATCCCGGGCATGCAAGGCGAGGACCTTAACCACTTGCGCCACCACGCCAGGCCCTATCATTTTATTTTTTAAGTAAAGTCCCAGCAATGTTAGGTTTGTTCCTTTTTTACCTTCTTTCCATCGATTATCTTCTCAAGATTTTTTGGTTTTTGAATTACATTTATTTTATATGTTTGTTTTATAGGTGAGCGGGTTGCAAACACATGTAGATCTTTGGGTGGTGTGGGTAGGGATGGTGTGGGTAGAAAGACCCTGCCTTCCCTTCTGTGACCATGGGGATGAGCGGGAGATGTTGCACCGCTCCTTGCTGCCAGTTTACATCAGTGCCAGGGGGCAGAGATTGTCCCCTGATTTGGTCCCAGGGACCCTCTGGTGGGGGTAGAATGCCCTGAGGGTATTACTTGCATAGTCCCAATTATTCTCAGATGGTGTTGGCTTTCATTTGCCCTTTCCCATACTTGCTGGCTGTCTATGTCTGCCTTGGTCCCTCCATAGCCTTAAAGGCCTATAGCATTGTTCAACCTGCTCTTCTCTCCATCTTTTGGTGAGGCACTCAAGGTTGAATAAGAGCGACTGGCTGTCCTGTCTTTCATGTGTATCCCAGTATGTTGTCTTTCGTTATACAGAGTCAGCAGTTGGGGCAGCCCAATCCCACACTGTGTGCTCCAGGCCCAGATCTGATTTCTGTGTGGAGTTCCCTGAGGTTGGGCATTTTTTGGAGGGGACTGATTGAGCTACCCACCAAGAGCCCTTACTGAGTTGGTCCCTACATCCGGCAGTCGCATGTACCAGCAGGTGCTGTGGCCTGGTCAGACTACCATGACCAGAGCAGCATGAGCAGGGTTGGAGAGTAAGACAAAGTGCAATCGAGAAAGTAAGAAATGAGACAGGGTCCCGGCATCGTGGCTCAATTGGTTAACTCTCCCCTTGCAAGTGCAGCCCATATAGGCTGCGGTTCGTGTGTTAACTGCTCCGCTTTGCATCCAGCTCCCCACTTGTGACTTGGTAAAGCAGCAAAAGATGGCCCAAAACCCTGGGTCCCTGCACCCACATGGGAAACTCAGAAGAAGCTCCTGGCTTCAGATCGGCTCATCTCCAGCCATTGTCATCATCTGGGAAGTGATTCAGTGGATGAATGATCTTTTTGTCTCCTTCCCTGGAAATCTGCCTTTCCAATAAGAATAAATTAAAAAAACAAAAAACAAAAAACAAAAAAAAAAACAGGAACAAGACGGACGCAAGATAAAGGCTACAAAAGTGGGTGGCCAGAGGGAAACCGTCTTCTCTGGAAGGCTCGCCTCCTCGGTCTTAATTGATGTGGCACAAGCATTGAGAGCTAGGTCCCATATTCATTGAGCCAGCCAGTGCTTGGTGACCAGTAAGCAACAACTTCCAAGTACAGAAGCGAGTACATGTCTGTCTCAAGGATAGCTTTCAAAGCACATGGATGGTCCTGTGGCAGCTGTCTGCTGCACACAGCAACCCTCAAGAACCCCAAACAATGCTGTACCCAGATCAGCCCCTATGGATGCTGCAACATGGGCCAGGCTGCTCCCAGACCCAGCTCTTACTTGTTCCAGCAGGTATTGTGGCTAGTAGGGAAGACCCCTGAGAATCACTACTTGGCCTGCAGCATGGCCCGGCGTGGCCCACCATCAGCCTTGTCATTCACTGGGGGGTGCTTGCAGCCTAGTTAGGGTGACCCCAAAGAACCCCTACAAACCTGCCCCAAACAAGACTCATTTGTGCTGGCAAGTGCTGCAGCCTAGCCTGGCCCATTCCACCCAAACCCCACTCTTGTGCATGCATGTACTTTAACCTGATCCATGGAGGTCCTGTGGATTCCCCCTTCTGATCCAAAATGGAAGCCAAACAAGCCTTGGTGGCCTCCATTCTGACTTAACCCCAGTCCCTCAGCACCTAACAGGGCACATCCTGTCCCCATGTGCTCCTGGTGACAGCAAGTGGTGATGGAGTGGCCCCAGTTGGCTTGAGTCCAGAGTGGCACAGTAGTTGCTCAGCAGGTGTTCTGCACCCCCTTGCCCCCAGATCTTTAAAAATAAATAACAAAAACAGAATGGAATAGGCCATTACACTGGCACACTGGCATCGTTAGCACAAATTTGCCATTTAACCAGACCCAGAATGCCCGCCAGTTATTAGCTGCTTTTTTTTTTTTCCCAGCCGTGTACACGTGTGTAAATATGAGGCAACCTTGACTGTTGCCTCCAGCTGGGGCTTCCTAAGTTTGTCTTATGGGAAAATGTTGTAACAGCCTTCTAAGTGTTGCTGTAGTCGTCTGTTTTCTTGTAACAACAGAAGCTGTCACTGAACCCAGAGTTCCAAAACACAAACGGTGGGGGTGAGGTCAGATGGGGGTGAGGTCAGCGCTGTTTTGGGCTCTGCTCTTTACTCTAAATTCTCTCCGTTATGCTGTGTGAAGTTCTCCTGGGTGTGTTGCATGATTATGTTTTCTTAAACCTGTTCCTGAGACTTCGCACCTTTACTGTTAACAAGTCATGACACTTTTTTTTCTTCTTTTAAGATTTAGTTTATTCAGAGTAACAGAGAAAGAGATTTTTTCCCAAGTGCTAACTCCCTACATGTCCACAACAGCTAGAGCTGGACTAAGCTGAAGCCAGGAGCTGGAACTCCATCTGGCCCTGACAATGGTGCCCAAGCACATAGGCCGAATCCCATTGCTTTGCCAGCTGCATTGCCAGGGAGCTGGATCTAGGCAGAGCAGCTTCTTTATCCTTTAAAATGTTAGCTTTGGGGATTAACCTGCAGGACCATGCCTGCTCTGCGTGTCTCAAATGAAATGGTTATTACCTATACTGGAAAAATCACTCCTGATGAAATTAAACTTAAAATTAAATCTGGAGGCGCTGGCATTGTGGCACAATGGTTTAGGTCATCATCTGCAGTGCCAGCACCTCATGAGCACCAGGTGTAGCCCTTTCTACCCTGCTTCTGTCTGGTTTGCTGCTAATGCACCTGAAAAAGCAGGGGAACATGACTGAAGTGCTTTGACCCTGAGACCCATGTAAGAGACGGGGATGCAGTTGTGGCTCCCTGCTTTGGCCTGACCCAGCCCCAGCCCCTGCTGCTCTTTGGGGAGTAAACCAGCAGTTGGATATCTCTGTTTCTCTCGCTCTCTTTCTCTGTGTCTTTTTCTCTGTGTCTCTCTCTCTCTCTGTTTTTCTTTCTCTCTAACTCTGCCTTTCAAATTTTAAAAAAAAAGGCCCACAACCCGGCAGGGGTTCATTTGCTGTATCCAGATAGGTGACGATGGTAAACCTTATTGCGGGGAGGAGGGGGCTGAGCATATGTTGTGGGTGTAGGATCTTGGCTGTGTGCAGTAACAAACACAGTAGGAAAAAAGCTCAGAGTGCAAAGCACACCCGGCCTTTGGGGATGCTCATGTCACGTGCAGGTCCTATTCATGGTGGCGCCATTGTGATGCTCTTTATTTTCTCAGAAGAGCTCTATGGCGACTTTGAAGACCTGGAAACGGGAGATGTGCACAAAGGAGAACCAGACCCAGATACTCAGGTACGACTTTGCCCTGGACACTCTCAGTTTGACCTGTGCTTGGCTTGTTCCGAGAAACTGGGTTTGAGAAACACGGGTCTGTGTAAATTATTGCCCAGGTGGTTAGATTTCCTAAAATATGGGGATGGGAACAGAATAAGTTGTTTACTTGTTGTATAACTCTAGCCATAAAAATAACCATGAAACCAGCTCTAAGCGTAGCTGTAATCCTAACCCTAGCTTTAGTCTTTGTCCTATCCCTCATTCTAGCTCTGTGCCTAAGTTCTCAACCTATCCTGGCTGTTATCAACCTTCACCTTGTACTAACAATAATCCTGAGCCTACTAAACCTAGCCCTAACCCAAATCCTTAACTTTGCCTTCCCCCTAACCCTAGCTGTAGCTCTAACGTTCTCATCTGACCCCACACTTGTTCTTAAGCCTGACTAACCAGAGCCCTAATTCTAATCATAACCACAGTTTTAACAAAGGACCTAGACATAAACCTAATTCTAAGTCGGATATACAGAGAGGAGGAGAGACAGAGAGGAAAATCTTCTGTCCGGTGATTCACTCCTCAAGTGGTTGCAGCGGCCAGCGCTGAGCTGATTTGAAGCCAGGAACCTCTTCTGGGTCTCCCACACAGGTGTAGGTCCCAAGGCTTTGGGCCATCTTCTAATGCTTTCCCAGGCCACAAGCAGGGAGCTGGATGGGAAGTGGGGCTGCCGGGATTAGAACCAGTGGGATCCCAGCACGTTCAAGGCGTGGACTTTAGCCTCTAGGCTACCGTGCCAGGTCCCCTTATTTTCATTTTAATCCAAAGCCTAACACTAACCCTAAAGCTAATCTTGGCTCTAACCGAATTCCTTATGATTTTTTATTCAGAGAGGTTTCACCTCCTGAATCCTTCTGAGCACTTTTATTTTTGCTGTTACTCTCTTAAATTTAAGTATCACTTGGGAAAGAAAATTTCCTTTTCTCCCCATTTGCAAGACAGTATCTGGGAACATCTGGCTTAGGAATAGCTGCTTCTACTTTTACTGATGTTTTGATTTGCAGCCAAATTGATGAATGTCAGTTTATGGTAGTAGCTGTCTCTGTAGCAATACTGTGGTTTTTGCAGCTTAAATTAAAAAAACAAAAAAACAAAAAACAAGCAAACCTTTTTTAAAATTTACTCTCCTATTTGAAGAAAAGATCCCGATAAACTTCTTTAACATTTTGTCTTTAATAAGATTGAAGATGCAGCAGAAGAAAAGGAAGAAACTGACCCCAGTGAAGAGGAAAATGCCAAGAAAAAGCATTTGGATAAGAAGAGAAAATTGAAGGAGATGTTTGATGCCGAGTATGATGAAGGAGAAAGCACGTATTTTGATGATCTTAAGGGAGAGATGCAAAAGCAAGCTCAGGTGAGGGAGCCCGCCGTGTCAGCCTGTCACGGCCTGTCCTAGCCTGGCCCTCTAGCTCGAGCTGTTGGACGAGTCAGTTCACCAGGGCGGTGATTAGTCCCCTCGTTTGTACCAGAGCGTGGTTCTGAGAGCAGCGATTGGAGACAGTGTGTTCATTTGCAGTCCCTGTACCAGTGCCTGATCTGACGGGGCGGGTCATTTGTGGCCTGTGTGGATTTGTGTTCTCCAGGAGAGGTTTTCTGTTCATGTAGAGAGTATCTGATTTCAGCTCAGATGTGGAGATTAGGGGAGTCTGGAATTGCCAAGGGAAGGCTGGAAGTGGGCAGTCTGGCCTTCTGTATGTGGGGCAGGGAGAAAGCTTTCTCAGACTGTGTGTGGTGGTGATCTCGCTCTGAGGGAGACACAGACGTATACCTGTCGATGGCAAGAGTGGAATGTCCACAGAACCCCCGGACGCCAGGAACCTGCACCTGGAATCCTGGCACCTGTGACGTTGTGGTTGATGAGGTCTGCCCGCTCAAGGCCTTTGTCCTGCTGCCAGCGAGGGTGAGGGTGCCCACACAGTGTGTGAAGGAAGGGGGAAACCATGAGAAAGAAGGCCAGAGAATCAGTAAGCCTTTCTATTGGATAAAGCCTGAATTCTTCCCATGGTTTACTTAGAAATCGCTGTGCTGATTTTATGTTTAGAAAGTTAGCAGTGCTTTGGGACTCTGTTGGGTTTTTTTTTTTTTTTGTCTCCTATGTAGCTTAACCGGGCGGAATTTGAAGATCAAGATGACGAAGCCAGAGTCCAGTATGAAGGTTTTCGCCCCGGGATGTATGTCCGTATTGAACTTGAAAACGTTCCCTGTGAATTTGTGCTCAACTTTGACCCTCATTACCCAATGATCCTGGGTGGTTTGGGCAACAGCGAGGGCAACGTCGGGTACGTGCAGGTAGGTGCTCTGGGCAGCGGGCTCAGCCAGGGGCGCCCTTGGGATGCACGGGTCACAGACCTTGTGGAACTTCTTCCCCTCAGATGCGCCTCAAGAAACACCGTTGGTACAAGAAGATCCTCAAATCCCGAGATCCGATCATCTTCTCTGTGGGGTGGAGGAGATTTCAGACCATCCCTCTCTATTATATCGAAGACCACAACGGGAGACAGAGGCTTCTGAAGTACACCCCACAGCACATGCACTGCGGAGCAACCTTTTGGGGTGAGGGTGATTCGGGTCATTGAGATGTTTGCACTGTAGGCTTGCTCTTTTCCGTTTGTCAACATCGAGATTCATGCGATTTTGCCCTTTTTTAGGAGGAAGGGGTTGGAATGTGTCTGTGGCATGGAATCCGAGACTTGCTGCTCACTGTATTTTTGTCCCGTTTTTTGCTTTAAGGTCCTATCACTCCACAGGGAACAGGGTTCTTGGCAATACAGTCCGTCAGTGGCGTCATGGTAAATATCTGAATGCTTTCCGGTTGTGCTTAAAAAACGGAGTTGGGGTATGAATATATAAGACCAAGTTGGAAATACTTGTTTTGAACGCATTGGTATGCAGTAGGTTTGTGTTTGCTTTTGATTTTCTCACATCCAAGTGGGATGTGAGAGTGGAGAAGAACACGGTACAAGGATTACGGCACTGACAATGCCATATTCTATTTTTGTCTTAAGCATTGGGATTATTTAAGCGGTGTTCACACTGTGCTGTGAAGGTTCATTACACACCAATTAGACAGGACACACTACACCCTATAAGGCTGGCCAAGCAAAGTCTGTCCACAGTCTGCCCAGTCAGCAAGCCTCATGCAACTAAAAGAGGCGGAATAACAGCAGGTGGATCCTCCCCGGAGGTCTCAAATCTAATCTCCTAGATATTACGATCTAATTTTCAGATTTCTTTTCATTCCAAGTAGATCATTATTATACAATGCTGTTGAAATGATCCTCAGGGAAGTACTCAGGTCGCCATCAGTGGCTGGTGTTTGCTCAGACACATTTTGCATGTCCGCATGCTTCCAGATAAGGGTAGGTCAGTGAGGTTGTAGTTCGGAGATGTTGTCGTTTTTGTCTTGGTTGTATCATTTCTCTACTCTAAATTTGGGTATTTCTTTGTAGCCTGATTTTCGAATTGCTGCAACAGGTGTTGTCCTAGACCTGGATAAATCCATAAAAATTGTGAAGAAATTGAAGCTAACTGGTTTCCCATATAAAATTTTCAAAAATACTTCGTTTATTAAGGTCTGTATATCCATGGATTCATATATTTATAAACGCATACATTGTTAAAGGAGGAACAGCGTACAGGATAGGTATCACTGATTCAGCTGCTGAATGCGGAGGCCTCGTGGTCCTGTGATAAACTGCTGCTTGGGAACTCCTGCGTCCGTACTGAGTGCCTGGGTTCAAGTCCTGGCTCCCTGTTCGTGCTCACCCTGGGACGTAGGTTCTTGGATCCCTGCATCCGTGTGGGAGACGCAGACTTGAGTGCCAGCGTCCCTGATTTGGTGTAAGGCCCATGGGGAATGAATCAGTGTTGGAAAATCAAGAACAAGAAAGACTTGCTCTCTTTTTCTTTCAAATAATAAAAATAAGTAAAAAGATAAATTAGGGGCCCAGCGTCATGGCCTAGCAGCTAAAGTCCTCGCCTTGAACACGCCAGGATCCCATATGGGCGCCGGTTCTAATCCTGGCAGCTCCACTTCCCATCCAGCTGCCTGCTTCTGGCCTGGGAAAGCAGTCGAGGACGGCCCAAAGCCTTGGGACCCTGCACCCACGTGGGAGACCTGGAGGAAGTTCCTGGCTCCTAGCCGTGGATCGGCATAGCATTGGCCATTGTGGCCACTTGGGGAGTGAGGCATCGGATGGAAGATCTAAGATCTTCCTTTGTGTCTCTCCTCTCTGTATATCTGCCTTTCTAATAAAAATAAATAAATCTTTAAAAAGAAAAAAAAAGAAAAAAAAATTAAAAAAAAAAAAAGACCAAAGAAAAGTGTTTGGAATCAGAGTGTTTGGTATTTCAAATTTTAGGCTGTTTGGGTTTGAAGAGACATAATAGATTATCTTGGGGAGGGTCTGCAAGTCTGAGCATGAAATCCATTTTTATGGCTCATGAACACCTTTTACTCATAGCGTGCAGCACGTTTTATACCGTATTTTAGTGCACTAACTTGTGGATGATCAGTCACATGAAATTAGTGTTTAAGACTGGAGATACTATACCTGTATTTTTTTTTTTTTTAAGATTTATTTTTATTGGAAAGGTAGATGTACAGAGAGAAAGAGATGGAGAGAAAGATCTTACCTGCACTGTTGCATTCCCCAAGTGGCTGCAGCGGCTAGAGCTGAGCTGGTGCAAAACCAGAAGCCAGCAGCTTCTTCCAGGACTCCCATGTGAGTGCAGAGTCCCAAGGCCTTTGGCCATCCTCTGCTGCTTTCCCAGACTACAAGCAGGGAGTTGGAAGGGAAGTGGAGCAACCAGGACACGGGCATGGGATCCTGGTGGATGCAAAGCATGAATTTAGCCACTAGACTGGGCCCTAAGCCTGTACTTCTAAACCTCATTTCTCAGGACTTTAGGAAAGTAATTGAAGTCTTACAAATGTAATTTTCAGTCTTTCTTTTTTTTTTTAAGATTTATTTATTTATTGGAAAGTCAGATATACAGAGAGGAGGAGAGACAGAAAAGATCTTCCATCCAGTGATTCACTCCCCAAGTGAGAGCAACAGCCGGTGCAATGCCACTCTGAAGCCAGGAGCCAGGAACTTCCTCCAGGTCTCCCACACGGGTGCAGGGTCCCCAGGCTTTGGGCCGTCCTCGACTGCTTTCCCAGGCCAGAGGCAGGGAGCTGGATGGGAAGTGGAGCTGCTGGGATCAGAACCGGCGCCCATATGGGATCCTGGCATGTTCAAGGCGAGGACTTCAGCTGCTAGGCCATGCCGCTGGGCCCTCAGTCGTTTTTAACTTCTATCTTTATATTGGACTTTGTGTTACTTAAATATGCTCAGAAATCTAAAACAAAAACAGTTAATAATTGAGGCGATTATTTATTGCCTTTGTGTAGGACTGTCATGGGACTAAATGAAAATGTAAATTTTAGCCAGATTAATTTTTATAGCTTTTTGATTTGTGCAACAAAAAAGGAGAAAATAATAAATTTACCACAGTTCAGTAAAACATAGACAAAACAATTCACCAAAAAAAACTTGACAAAAGCCCAGAGAAATGTATGAACTGTTTTTGCAGAAAGTTTTAGCAGTAGCAGCAGTATTTCCATTCAACAGATTTGGGGTGGGCTTTTGGCTTAGTGAGCAGGCAGCCCACCTCCCGTATTGGAGGACCTGGGCTCCCTTCCCACATGTGCCTGCGGAGCCCAGCTTCCTGCTGTCATGGGCTTTGCCGGGCGCAACGGGAGATCTGGGTTACGTTCCTGACTTGTGCAACCATTGCACGCATGTGAGGAGTGAACCAGCAAAAGGGAACCCTGCCTCCTTGCTTCCCGGATTCTTTTTTTTAGAAGAATAAATGAATCGAAATAAATTATCTGAAATAACTCGTAACATGTTCTTGTGATGATGTCACCATTTGTTCAGATCTGTTTCTTTAAAAAACTTTGTTTCGTTTTATTTGAAAAGGAGAGGCACAGAGATCTTTTATGTGCTGGCTCACTCCTCCAGTGACCTCAGTCAGGAGAGCTAGGACAGGCTGAAGCTTGGATCCTGGAACACGGTCATCCTTCCCTCTGGGTGGTAGACACACCCCAATTACTAGAGGCTGCATCCACTGCCTGCCTGAGTGCTCAGTTTAGTGGGAAAACAGGCTGGAACATGAGGAGTGGAGAACGGAGCCAGACTCACACATGGAACGTGTGCACCAAATGCCCACCCCATCTTTTTGTGTTTTAAGGGGAGTACACCTCGCCTGCATGGAGCCAGTTCAGACTGTGGAAGGGTTCTGGGGAATTCCCCTTTGATCTTCTCTTGTACTGGGTTCCTGTTGATGGCATGCCAGCAGTCCCGCAGCAGAATCTTGGTTACCATGACTGAGACAAAAGAAAAGAGAGCTGTATTGTTTCTGACGCGGTAATTCCACTTTTAGAAGGCACAATATTTTAGCACCCTTGTAATAAGTTGTTTTTGTTTTTTTAACCCAGGGCATACGTATGAACTAACAGGTCGAGGAAATGACTTTGTATGTCTGTATTTTTGTTTCCATATGCCCACAGGGAATGTTTAATTCTGCTTTGGAAGTTGCTAAGTTTGAAGGTGCTGTGATTCGAACTGTCAGTGGGATAAGGGGGCAGATCAAGAAAGCGCTGCGAGCCCCCGAGGGAGCTTTCCGAGCCAGCTTTGAGGATAAGTTGCTGATGAGCGGTAAATATCTGGGGCTGTTCCCAGTGAGGCCACTGCTTTCCAGCCGGTGCTGACTGGAGGGTGCAGCTTAGGTCTTGCGCAAGCCCAAGTATACTCCAGCACTCCGTGTTTGGAGCACTTCACACCCTGTCTGCAGGCCTTTGGTTCACGGGCCATAAGAAGCTTTTGAAGCATAGGATAGTATAGGGGCATTATGATGCGACAGGGTAAGCTGCCACTTGTGTTGTGCTGGCATCCCATATGAGAGTGGTGGTTGGGGTCCCTGCAGCTCTGCTGCCGGTGCAAGCTTGCTGCCTGGGAAGGCAGTGGGTGATGGCAAGCCCTGGCACCCCATCCCTGTTGGAGTTCTTGCTTCCCAACTTTAGCTCGGCCTTGCCCTGCCTCTGTCGTGGGCCTTTAGGGAATGAACCAGCGGACCCGAGATGAATCAGTCCGTCTCTTTCTCTCTCTGGGTCATTCTGCCTTTGAAATAAATCATCCTTAAACAAAATAAAAGGAATAGTTTAGTCAGTAAGTCCCTCTCAAATGCTTCACATCCAGGCAGAGAAGGTGAGGTGATAGGTTTGTTTTTGTTTTGTTGGCAAGATGAACTGGCATCTTTTGAAAGCGGTAAAGTAAAAATTCCTTTCTTTCCAGATATTGTCTTCATGCGCACTTGGTATCCTGTCTCCATCCCAGCCTTCTATAACCCTGTAACATCTTTGTTAAAACCACTGGGGGAGAAAGACACATGGTCAGGAATGCGGACCACAGGCCAGCTGAGGCTGGCACATGGCATCAAGCTGAAGCCAAGCAAAGACTCGCTGTATAAGGTACTGGGTGTCAGTGCTCGCACTGTGTGTATGTGGGTGTGGTGTGGTGTGGTGTGGTGTGGGTGTGGTGTGGTGTGGTGCTGTATTCAGTCCCTGGGTGTCAGTGCTCACAGTGTGTGTGTGGTGGTGTGTTGTGTTATGTTTAGTCCCTGGGTGTTCATGCTCACAGTGTGTGTGTGTGGTGTTGTGTTGTGTTGTGTTTAGTCCCTGGGTGTCAGTGCTCACAGTGTGTGTGTGTGTGTGTGTGTGTGTGTGTGTGGTGTTGTGTTGTGTTGTGTTTAGTCCCTGGGTGTCAGTGCTCACAGTGTGTGTGTGTGTGTGTGGTGTTGTGTTGTGTTTAGTTCCTGGGTATCAGTGCTCACAGTGTGTGTGTGTGTGTGTGTGGTGTTGTGTTGTGTTGTGTTGTGTTGTGTTTAGTCCCTGGGTGTTCATGCTCACAGTGTGTACCCTCCACATAGGGAGTCAGGTGGATGCAGAATGTCTCATGAATTTTCTGTTGTTAAATGTAACAGTTGTATATTCGTGGATTGTTTTAGAAAAGAATAATGATATAATGGTTTTCTCTGGATTGGAAATGAGATTTTTTAAAATAAATTTTATTGCATATTTTGAATTTTACAGTGTCTGTTATGAGACATTGGGTGATCCAGCTGTTACTGTAGTAAAGCAAATGAGCGTGTCTACTGGCTCATGTAACGACTCTTTTTTCCCCCACAAGAGCAGCTAACACCCATTTAATAAAAGTTCCAAGTACAGAAGTACAGGTATATTTTACTAAAAGTTCCCTCTTGGAACTGCTTTTACTGCATCCCAAAGATTTTCATATTTTGTTTATACTCTGATTTATCTCAAGATACTTTTAAGCTTATTTTGTTTTAGTTCTTTCTGAGTCCATTGGTTGCTTAGGAAAATAGTAAAACTTAAACAATCCTAACAGTAGCCCTAGGATTGTAAAGCTAATGATAATCACCAACCACTAATAAAAGAGCCCTTAGTCATAAATTATCTGCTGTCTATTGTCTATTTATAATAGGGTTTTTTTTTTTAGTTCATTTATTTATTTTTATTGGAAAGTCAGATATACACAGGGAAGGAGAGAGAGAGAAAGCTCTTTGTCTTCTGATTCACTCCCCATGTGGCCACAATGGCCAGAACTGCGCCAATCTGAAGCCAGGAGCCTCTTCCAGGTCTCCCACGTGGGTGCAGGATCCCAAGGCTTTGGGCCGTCCTTGACTGCTTTCCCAGGCCACGGGCAGGGAGCTGGATGGGAAGTGGAGCAACCAAGGCACAACCATATAGAATCCCACCGGACGCAAGGCGAGGCTTTAGCCACTAAGGCTATTGCGCTGGGGCCCAATTATAACAGTGTTTGACTTCAAGTCTGTTCTGGTTACTGCTTGTATAGAATTATCTGCTTCCATCACTTCACTTTTAGCCTGCTTATCATTGAAGCTACACTGGGTCTGTTGTGGGCAAGCATAGTTGATTGTTGTTGCTGTGCACGTTGAACCACTATCTCTTTGAAATGGAGTTTAGTCCATGGTATAATCCAGGTGATTGTTGATAGGTAAGGACCTAATCATGTATTTGGTTCATTTCTTCCTACCTCCGTGCCTCTTTTGTCCGTTTCTTGCGTGGGTACCTGCAGTGTGAGGGTATGCCAGCCAGGAGGAGGTACAGGATGAGGTGCAGACTCCGCGGCTGCTCAGTTCTCATTGCCAGCAACTACCTCATACATTTATTGGCTTATTTATTTTTCTTCAATTTTAGGTTTGCAGTACCTATCTTAGAGTCCCATTTTTATGTAGATTTCGGTCTCAGAACTTTCATTATTTTTTGTCATAATCTAGTGATGCGTTTGAGAAGATTTAATTTAGGATATTTGGCTGCTCTGTAATAAGAGAATAATTCAGGATATCAGTTTTGCCACTCTACTGAAACTGATGTCTCCCAGGCATGCTTTTTCTAAACATGATTAATAATAGTTTTAGATCCTATTACATGGATTTTTATTAAAGTAAACATAAGGATGTGGTGCTTAGACTTTTTTTGAGGTGAAGATTTCTCCAAATTCTTTTCAAGCAGTTTGCTTCTAAACAGAGACTGTCGATTATTGTTGTGGATGCTATTTTTAAAAATACTTTTCAAAATATAACAAATGTTCTTTATTTAGTAGATATTGACATTTAGTAAAGGCCAAGGACAGTTTTTTTTTTTTTCAACTTAATAGCAATATTTCTGAGGTATTTAAGATTTTTGATCATGTGAATTTAAGCATTACCTTGAATTTAACATTGTCTTAAAGATTCATTATGGAGAGTTTTGGCTTCACCTGTTGTTTAAATCTCTGTTAGCAGTTTTCTGCCAGAAACAGTGAAGTTAAGCTTCTTTTTTTTAGAAAAAAAAAAAAAAAAGATTTATTTATTTATTGGAAAATCAGATATACAGAGAGGAGGAGAGACAGAGAGGAAGATCTTCCGTCCGATGATTCACTCCCCAAGTGACTGCAACGGCCAATGCTATGCCGATCTGAAGCCAGGATCCAGGAACTACTTCTGGGTATCCCACATGGGTGCAGGGTCCCAAAGCCTTGGGCCGTCCTCGACTGCCTTCCCAGGCCACAAGCAGGGAGCTGGATGGGAAATGGAGCTGCCGGGATCAGAACCGGCACCCATGTGGGATCCTGGCGTGTTCAAGGCGAGGACTTTAGCAGCTAGGCCACCGGCCCCGAAGTTAAGCTTCTTACTGGAACCCAGATGGGGATGCTTTGGCTGCTCATTGGAGGAATCGCCATGTCTGTAAATCCAGACTGAGTAATAGTCCCAGGGAGAAGCTGCTTGCTCCCGCTATGCTGGCGCAAAACTACTTCAGTGCCCCAAAGACAAAGCCTGAATTTTCTCATCGTAAGAACTTTGGATCTGCGGCTCCATGCTCGGCCTGGGCTCCTGGGGACGGTGCAGGGGCTCACCGGGAACTCGCGCCTTCTCAAGGCCATGCTGGGGGTGGCTAGCTGGCCCACATGCCGTGTGCAGAGGAGGCTGCGACCTGAGGCCTGTGACCGCGGGGTTCCAGCGGCGTGGGCCAGGGAAAAAAGCCTGTATCGAAGGGGCGCAAAAAAATAAAAGAAGCAGGTTCTGAAGTTCACCCTGGACTGCACCCACCCAGTGGAGGATGGCATCATGGTCGCTGCCAACCTTGAGCAGTTTCTCCCAGAGAGAAGCAGGGTCAACGGGAAGGCTGGGAACCTCGGCATTGGGGTGGTGAGCCTCTAGCCGAGCAAGAGCAGGATCTCCGTGACCTTCAAGGTGCCTTTCTCCAGGAGGAAATCTTCAGGGCCCGGCGCACTAACCTAGTGGCTGGAGTCCTTGCCTCCTTGCATGCGCTGGGATCCCATATGGATACAGGTTCCTGTCCCAGTGGCGCTGCTTCCCATCCGGCTCCCTGCCCGTGGCCTGGGGAGGCAGTCAAGGACCACTCATGGCCTTGGGACCCTGCACCTGCGTGGGAGACCCAGAAGAGGCTCCTGGCTTCAGATTGGCTCAGCTCCGGCCATTGTGGCCACGTGGGAAGTGAGTCAATGGACAGAGGATCTTTGTCTCTTCTCCTTTTCTCCTTTCTGTAGCTCTGACTTTCCAATAATATAAAGAAAGAAAGAAAAAAAAAAACCAACTTTGGAGGTACCCATGCAATGCCGTATTAGGCTAATCTCCCCATGTGGACACTGGTCAAGTCCTGACTTCTCTTCTGATCTGAGTCCCTGCTTGTAGCCTGGGAAAGCAGCAGAGGATGCCTCAAGTCCTTAGGACCCTGCACCTGTTTAGGAGACCCAGAGGAAGCTCCTGGCTCCTGGCTTCAGATTGGCATTGGCCTAACTGCAGCCCATGCAGTTACTTGGGGACTAAACCATCCGATGGAAGATCTTTGTCTTTTCTCTCTCTGCCACTTTGCCTTTCAAGTTAAAAAAAAAAAAAAGGAATGAACTTTGGGTGTGCTATGTTGAGACCTCATCACTTGACATTATAGAGGGGGTACATTGCTGTTAGAGCTGTAAATGCTATCTGTTCTGTGTTTCCTAGAATTATGGGTGTCCACTGAGACAGCACATGTTTGGTAGCTAATTGCATCCAGATTCCTGATAGTTAACAGTGTTACTGATCCTGTGGGCGTGTCAGTCTGTTAAGACTTTATGTAAACATTTTAATACGCAGAAGTCATAATTTACATATGACTGTTTTATTTTCCTTTCCAGCCAATTCTGAGGCAAAGGAAACATTTCAATTCACTGCATATTCCCAAAGCCTTGCAGAAGGCCCTGCCGTTTAAGAACAAGCCCAAGACGCAGGCAAAGGCAGGCAAGGTGCCGAAGGACAGAGTGAGACCAGCTGTCATCAGGGAGCCTCATGAGAGGAAGGTATGTCGGTGGGCGTCTCGCTGCATGTTGCGTTTTGATGTGAAAAGTAGCGCTTTCAGAAGCACACGTGGCATTCCTGCCACATTCTCAACATTTCATCTGGAAAGGACAGGACCAGAGTCTGTTTTGTTTCCCTTTTGTGAGTCATACTGTGCCTTTGTGTTCGGATGAGAAGCAATAGGCGTACAGCAGGTGCATCCCTGTTAGCTGGTTGCACATAGCATCCACAGAGGATTAACACAGGCACTTGAGTGGTGGAGGTACATCACCATGCAAATCATTATTCCTAGTTCAGGATGGACTTGACCAAAATAGTATAAACTTGAATTGTGGCGCGAGTCCAGCGTTGATACCATCCCTGGAGGCGTTTAAGCTTAACCCTGAAAGGTAGAAGGGAAAGATGCTGTAACTGTGGGAATCGGCTTTGTCCTTGCCAGGTCCTCGCTCTGCTGGATGCGCTGAGCACGGTGCACAGTCAGAAGATGAGGAAGGCCAAGGAGCTGCGGCACCAGCACAACAAAGAGCACGTCCGAGCAAAGCAGAAGGAGGAGGAGGAGAAGCTGAAACGACAGAAGGACCTCAGGAAGAAGCTGTTCCGGATGCAGGGCCAGAAGGAAAAGAAAAACCAGAAGTCCAGCCTCAAGGGCACTGGGAGCAGCTGAGTCAGGAACGCAGAGGGACAGTGTCGAGGACCTTAGCGCTTGTGAGTACCAAGTCGGCGACAGGAGCTGCCGAGAGGCCCCTGTTGGGCGGACGACCAGGCTGTGCCTCTGAGAGCAGGAATGAAGACTGCTGGTGGGACACAGGCCCAGCCTCGGCTTCCAGGGTCATTTATGTTCTGGGGGTTCTCTCGTTTTCCTCTAGCTGTCTCAGTTTCATTAATTATTTTGTGCTACTAAAATATCATTAAAATATTTTTCTGTTCACTTTGGCGTAGAAAGTTTTCTTCAGGGAAGAATGCCTAGCAGTGTCTTGTAAATAATTATTCTTCCCCACTTTCATGATAAGTTGCCTACTAGGGGGAAAAGGTTATTAACTGAAAGGCTGGGCAAGGCTTTAGTACACCAAACAATCGATGTATTGCAGACGTAGAGAGATCAAAGAAATAGAATATATTTGTTGAGTAGGTTTTTTTGCTATGTTCTCATACATTTACCTGCTTACCTACATTGCCTCTTTTAAACTGAACATGATGTAATCATGAGTGTGTGATTAAATAAATCTTAGAAAAAACAATATGATTAGCTAACAGGGGTCTTGCAAAAATTCATTGAACATGCAGATTGTGAAAAAAATCATGTTTGCTTAAAAAATTGTTTTTTCTAAGATTTATTTATTTTTATTGGAAAGGCAGATATACAGAGAGAAGGAGAGGCAGAAAGATCATCCATCCTCTAGTTCATTCCCTGAGTAACTGCAATGTCCAAAAGTGAGAAGATCTGAAGCCAGGAAGGAGCCAGGAGCGTCTTCCAAGTCTCCCACGCAGGTGCAGGGTCCCAAGGCCACGAGTCATCCTTGACTGCTTCCCCAGGCCACAGCAGGAAGCTGGATGGGAAATAGAGCAGTCAGGACACAAACTGTCACCCATATGGGATCCCAGGTGTACAAAGTGAGGATTTAGCCAGTAGTTCACCACCTGGGCCTGCTTTTAATTTTTTTTTTTCCCCAACATAAGCCCATTTTTAATTCAATCTTCTATGAAGTTTTAGTTTCTCTTATATGGTGTTATAGTCATTTGCCATCTAATTGTGCAAGATGCATGTGTATATTCAGTGTAGACTTTGCCCCATTTCTCTCACTGGTCATGTTGTACACATATCACCATCAGGATATAATTGACACAATGCAGTGATCTTACTCAGATTTTCCCAGCTCAATTCACATGTTATCTTTGTCTAGGGCCATATGCGACAATGGCCCGTGAGAGTATCATATTTTCCTTTAAACATAATATGGCACAAAGTAAATCTGCAGAGATTTCCTAGCAGGATTTTATAATTTAAAATAAATTAATTTTATATACCATAATTGATAGATTTTAAAATATGAAACTGGTGAAAGCTGTCCAAAGCATCCTAAATTATACTGTGGTTTGCATTTCAGTAGCTTATAAAATGATCATTCAAAATCGGTAAAATTTACCTTTTTCAAATCTTTTATTTAACATTATTATTATCATTTTATGATACAGTTCCATAGGCTCCTGGCATTTCCCTTATCCCCTCCCCAATTAACCCCCGCACAACAATTTCCCCTATATCATTACTATGGTATAGTTCCTCATACACAGTCATATGTCCATTATTGTGGGCGTGGACAATGGCAGAGAGTCCAGCATCCCATTGTCATATAATTTAGTAAACAGTTTCATTGGGAGTCCATCTTTGTCTGGAAGTAGAGATGCATAGTGTATCCTCACATCTGGATATGTTAGTTTCCATTTCACAGTTACTGTACATCCCCTTAAATGAAAAGCCACAATACAAAATCAACAACAGAAAGAAAAATAGAAATTTAAAATGCCATAAAGTTAAATAACGTGTCATTACACAGCTACTATACATCCCCTTAAATGAAAAGCCACAAAACAGTATCAACAAAAGGAAGAAAAAAAAAAGAAATTAACAACACCAAGAAATTAAATAACATGCTACTGAATGACTAATGTGTCACTGAAGAAAAGAAAAAAAAAATCAAGGACCTTCTTAAAGGAAATGATGCTACTATATGATCTATGAGTCACTGAGAAGTTTTATCAGAAGAAAGAAGTGTTTTGAGGAGATGAAACCAACAGAAAACATCAAATTCCATGAGATATAGTTTCCGCTGATTTTTGTTGCTGAAATGTGTCTCCTGTAGCTAACAGATGGGTTTTGTTTTTTAATCCAGTTTACTAATCTATGATGTTTGATTGAGCTTAAGCCATTTACAGTCAGGGTTAATATATATGGGTGGTAATTTGTTCCTGTTATTTTAAGAATGACAGGATTCATTGATTTGGTCTTCTGTTATCATTTTACTGGGATGGTCTTCACATTTGCCTTTGGTTTCAGTAGGCACTATTCCTTTTCTCTGCCAAGAGAACATCTTTAAGTATCATTTGTAGGGCAGGTTTGCAAGAGGCATATTCTTTCAACTTTTCTTTGCTCTGGAAGAATTTTATTTCATTTTCAAAGACAAAGCTTTGCTGGGTACATTATCCTGGGGTGACAGTGTTTTGCTTTTAGAATGTGGAATATGTCACTCCATTCTCTTCTGCCTTGTAGCATTTCTTGTGAGAGGTCTCCTGTGAGTTCAATTGACATTCATTTATATCTCAATTTTATATCTCAATTGTTTTTTTTTTTTTTTCATGTGCACATCTAAGGATCTTTTCCTTATGTTCAATTAAAGAGAGCTTGATGATCATGTGTTGTGGTGAAGATCACTTTTGATCAAGCCTGTTGGGAGTTCTGTGTCCCTCCTGGATCTTGTTCCCCAATTCTTTCTCCAGATTAGGGAAATTTTCCTGTATTATTTCATTAAATACATTTGCAAACTCAGCTTCTCTTTCTGCACCTTCTGGGACTCCCGTAACTCTTATATTGGACCTCTTAATAGTGTCTTTCAATTCTTGAATACTTTTTTTGGCCTGATCCAGCTCTGCTTCCAGCTTTTTGTTTGCTTCCCCCTGGTGACAGGAAATATCTTCTAATTCTGAGATTCTTCTGCTTTCTTCATTCTATTGTTGAGACTCTCCACTGTTCTTTTAATATGCTCCACTGCATTCTTCATTTCTGATTTATCAGCCTTCATTTAATTAATTTCCGGTGTGATATATTCCTTAAATTGCTTTAATGCTGCTTTACGTGCTTCTCATCGTTGATAAGAAGCATTATAACAAGTGCTTTGAATTCTGTATCCCCCATTTTCTTGAAATCTTCCTCTGTTAACTCTGAGGTTGTCAAAGGCTTTTACTCCTTTGCAGGGGAATCTTTTTTCAAAATTAATTAATTAATTATTATTATTATTAATAACATTGTATTATGTGACACAGTTTTATAGGTAATGGGATCCCCCCCACCCCTCCCATAACCCTTCCCCCATGGTGGATTCCTCCACCTTGTTGCATAACCACAGTTCAAGGTCAGTTGAGATTCCTTCATTGTAAGCATATACTTAGCATAGAGTCCAGCATCTTATTGTCCAGATAAGTTCAATGGCTTCTTGGGGAGACCTTCTCTGGTCTGAAGGTAGAGCCAACAAAGTAAAATCCCGATCAATCAAAAGCCCCAACATAACATCAGCAACAATATACAATGTTATGGTATTAATTAACATAGTATTGAGTAAACAATATGTTAAAAATAATGCAAATTCTTTACCACATCCTGTGACTACTCCATTGACATTTCAACAATTGAGGTGCAAAACAGTTTTAGGAGGGGTATGCAGAGAAATCTTCAGTACCTTGGTGAGGAGTACTTGCTCTGTGTCCTACCTAGTAAGGTATGTGTGAGTCCATGCTGACCAAACTTTCCTTGTTGTTGTCTGCCCATTATTCTAATGTGTGTGTTTGTGTGTGTGTTTGGAGGGGGGGGCTCTGGAGCGACCCTGGTGGTCATTGCAGAGAGGGTGGAGACCCAAAGTTGGAACTAAGTAAGGACCAGAGAAAGCTCCTCTCCCTAGTCCCGAAGGAAGTTTACTGTTCTTCTGATTCCGAGGACCGCTCTGGGTTCCTGGCTGTTGTTCCAATGACCTTGGATCGAACGAGGAAGAATTCAGGCTTTTTTCATCCCGTGTGGTAGATCCAAAGAGGGCCGGGGGCGGGGGCGATGCCCTCTGAGTTCTCGGGCTCTGAAGGCATTTCAGTTCCCCTGGTCTCTTTGGCAGTTGGGATGTAATCCTTGATGCCTGTGCTGATAATCCTTGGTGGGGATCCCGGAGTCCAGGGTTGGGATGCGCGCCTCTTCCTGTCCTGCTCCACTCTGGGGTCCACCCTTGCTCTGTGCATATGACCTCCTGTGGTGGTTAGGATCGCTCTTGGTTCCCCCTGTGTGTCTTTGTAGTTTAACTATTGTCTAACGCTGTTTTGAATCTGTTACCAATAAGTTACCTGTTATTTTCCTGATAGGTTACACTACATGTCTTCCTCACACATTCTACGGAGATGGAAGATTTCTTTGCTCTCCCGCCCTGTTTCTGTTTAGCACAAGGTTTTCAAAGTATGGTAGGTTTTACAATTTTTCAAAACACATGGTTTGAGACAGTATTAATTACAGGTTCATCTGAGGAAGATTTACTGTCCTTGGGAATCGTTAGGATTAATTCACGTCCCCAAAGCACTGAGGGTTCAGCAAGGAGCTATCTAAGCAGCATATCAAAGAATGACAATCCCAGAGCTCCTTGGCCAGGCAGTCAGCAGGCAGAGCCCCGGTGGCCGCCCACCACGTGGACATAGTGGCGGGCTCATATGAAGTAGGCATGAGGCAGCCATCCTGCCCGGCGGCCCCTGCAGCCAGGCCGATGGAGGTTAAGCTCACTGGACTCCCAGGTCCACCCCTCCCAGATCCTACCCCAGCTCAGCTGAAGCGAGCAGTAGGCAGGGCCAGACTTACCTAACAAAGCAAGGAGACTCCCTCCTGAGAGGTCAGCTCCTGTGGCTTTGTCAGGTATGTCCAGGGGCCGCTCACCACGTGGACGCAGTTGCGGCTCATATGAAGTAGGCATAAGGCAGCTGTCCTGCCTAACGGCCCCCGCAGCCAGGCCGACGGACGTTAAGCTTGCAGGGGAATCTTCATTAACCTTCATTGTGCCTCTGTCTCTTCTTTTTTTTTTAAAGATTTATTTTTTATTATTTTTTCATTGGAAAGGCGGATATACAGAGAGGAGAGACAGAGAGGAAGATCTTCCGTCCGATGATTCACTCCCCAAGTGACCGCAACGG